AGCATCAAGGGAATAAATTGACTACAACGAGTTTGTGTCAGGGATTGCAACTCAGCAAATGTGGACCGTGCTTGCTTTTGATGTCCAAACAGCTTATCTGTATGGGGAACTCAAAGAGAACGTATTTATGCGCGTACTCGATGGAATCCCGGTACTCCCTCATTTGACAAGTCAAAGCCTTGTGTAAGAATTCAAAAGTCACTGTACGGCTTAAAGCAGTCGGGGCGTCAGTGGTATAACAAATACTCTGAAGTGCTAAAATCACAAGGATTTGCACATAGTATTGAGTGCCCGAGTGTATTTTACAAACATACCGACAAGGGTCCTGTTATCACAAGCATCTATGTTGATGATACAAACGTCATGGATCCTGAGAAGAAGGCCGTTGACAAAGTAAAAACGTTTCTGAAATCCACATTCGAAATGAAGGATTTTGGCCAAGTATCAGGTTGTATTGGGATCGATATCGAACATTTACATCAAGGTGTTTTTCTATTGCAGTCAAAAATGATTCAAAAGATTTAAAGTCTATACACCTTGAACATACGAAGCCAATGAAACCACCATTAGAAGTGAGATCCGTGGAGCTGCGTAAAGATATTTATGGTACACGACGAGACGGGCTTTCTATATGAAGCAACAAGAAATGGATTACTGGTTTCAGAAAGAAAATGTAAAAGACCCTTGGAATTCAGTTGATTGAAACTCCGATACCCGTCTACGAAGACAATCTGGCGGCATTGAATCAAGTGAAGATGCAAGGGTACATTCGCTCTAACTCCAACAAACATATCGCTCCAAAGGTCTATCGAACTCGAGATCTCATTATAAACAAGGACATCACTTTGTTACATGTACCTGGGACCGCGAATCCTGCGGATATATGGACTAAGACACTACCTACAAATTTCCATTCCAAATTCATAAATATGAAGGGTATCAGAAGCAAAAGATCGCTTACACTGCCAGCAGTAATACTCGCAGTTTTGGTTGTAAGGGAGTGTTGAAATTGATCATCAGACAACCATTACTGCGTTCTTTTTTTTCCTTCCTCTGTCCTCTGATTGATTGAAATACATGATTCATATAAGTCAATCTCTCGGCCAGTTTCGACAACTATACCGTATCTCAACAAGACAGAAAAGTCTTTAGTCTACCCATAAGCTTACCACCCAACAAGACTGCTGTTGGAATAGATGGGCCTTCGTCAGGAAGCTCAAAGCTGATAGTACTATAGATAGATACAAAGAAGATTGGTAGCTCAACGGTTTTCTCAAACACCAAGACACGATGGTAATGCTACATATTCTCCGGTGATGGACACGATTACGTAAAGGTTCTTATTAAGCTTCGCAAGATATATGAAGTTTAAGATAGATGCAATGGATGTCGTGAATGTTTAGCTTTATGGTGATCTGGATGCCGACATATACCAGAATACCAGAAAGAATCCAAGTATCTAGTGGAATAGAGCACCCAGTGTTAAAGGTTGAGAAGGCCTTCTATGGCCTGACACAGTCTGGAAGAATGTGGTAGAATACTTACTCAGAAAGATTGCTGAAGAATGGATAGAAGTCAAACAGGATCAATCCATGTGTATTCTACAATCAACACTCAAAGGGAGAGTAATAACGTCAGTATACGTAGATGATTCTACTATAGTGGTATAATGGCTGACGAGAGAGCCAAGAGTGAGACAAAGGAATACCTGAAGTCTCATTTCGAAATGAAAGATTTGGGATCTTTATCATCCATCTTGCATCGGTATACAAATCGAACAACTGCAATCTGGCATCTTCATACATCAAGTCAAGCATCATATTTAAAGAAGGTGTGACTTGGAGAAATTCAATATGTCAGAATGTAACTCAAGAAACACATGATATATTGGGACCACGATGACAAGACGAAGATGATTATCTGACAACATACCATATGCTAACGCCATTGGAGCACTATCCTATTTAGCAAATTCAACCCGACTCGATATAGCATTTGTGTCAACTTGCTAGCAAGGTACACCCATGATCCATGTGCCAGACATTGGAATGGTGTCAAGAAGATCCTAGGATATTTCAAAGGAACGTCAGATATGGGATTATTATATGAAGGGCAAACTAAAACCATCTAGCACCATATGCTGATGCAGGATACTTGACAGGCAAACAAAGTGGTAAATCCCAAACAGGATATATAATCACAGTTGGTGGTACTGCTTTTGCTTAGAAATCCACAAAACAAACCATGGTTTCTACATCCACCGCCCATTCAGAGATTATAGCCATGTATGGCTCGATAAGGGAGCTAACATGGATAATGTATTTTGTAAATGATATGCTAAAAGGTCTGGAAGTGGACTCTCTACCACCCACCGATGTATTTGAGGATGATTAACTATGTCTTCGACAAATCCAAACTGGTTAGATTAGATCAGACTTCACCAAACACATCATACCGAAGCTATTTTATACATCAGAAATGTTAGACAATGGTAAAATAATGTTAAAAGAGGTTGCTAGTAATGACAATATGGCTGACTTACTCACAAAGTCCTCGCTAACGGAAATACATCAGAAGCTTTGTAGTTTAATGGGGTTGAGGAAGAGAGGAGAGTTGAAGGATTGAATGACATGTCCTGGATTGTGAACATTGATGACGGTACTCTTTTGGTCCAATGGTGTTGGGCGCTTTTATTGAGGCTTGAGATTTCACAATCAGGGGTAGAATCTGATGAGGGGAGTATTGAGCAAAACACTACGTCACAATCAATATCGCACGTGTATATATTCAACCAATCATAATTAGGCACGTATCTATATGCTTGTTCATACATGATTCATTCAATACAACACATACAACACGAACTATCTTGTTAGTCGGAACATAGTAACGTCGTCAAAAACGGAACAAAATCAATCAGCGAGATAACATAATATTTTGAATCATTTCTACATCTATATAGAGCCTTCTCAACTCAAATCAAATACTTCTGGTGGTCGATTCTCTCTTCGGCAGATAAAATAACCTAATTCGATTCTTGCGTAACTTTCGTATTCACGATTCACAACACACAACCAACATACATAGCACTAGCTTTCATCGATCTCCAATTCAGAGCCATGGCGAAACCAAACTATTCGGGCAAATGGATCAACGACAAGGGGGCGAGCTCAAGTCCATCAGACGTAAGTCCCCTTAAGTTGAAAGAAACTTGTTTTTTACTCAACACATGATTCCTTGCCTTAGGTATTGGATGCTCAAGGAGCAGGATGGTTTATGAGTATGTTTTCTCTTGTATTGAGTGCACTGCTCCATACAGTTCCGTAAGCATTGACAACAATTGCTCTTCAGAGACCGCGGCATCAGCTATTAGCTTAGACATTACCACGACCCAATCGGAGGATGGAAACACCATTACCACTGTAAGACATACAGATCCACCTATACATCTTCTATTCGTGATGCCACTTTCCTCGTCGCAAGCCTGAAACAAGCTCGTTTGGTACGGATGAACAATCACCCTTACGATTACTTTTCTCAAACAGACCAGCACACAAGGCGACCAAGTCTTGATTCTGGATGGTGTTGAACGTGAATACCCTCGCAAGTTGTTGGGTGATTCAAGTGCGTCGTTTTTGTATATGCCATATCCGGTAGTGGGCGACCTTTTTAAACAGGGTACGCTCTCTTACAATTCATCATTCATTGATCTAGTTTTCGCATCTGCTACGTGGGAGAACAATGTTGTGGTGGTCAAGCAAAGACACTCATCGGGATCATGGACCCAAACTGGAACTTGGGAGATATCTGAAGATGGCAAGACACGGACGCACAAGATTCATGTCAAAGGTCCTACCAAGGAAGGCGTACGTACATCTTGGGACCGAGTTTACTGACAAATTGAGTCTGTGGAACTGACTCGTTGTGAAATCAAATCGTCTCTAGGATTTCGTTATAGTCTTCCACAAGGTCTAATTCGACTGTTATTCTTTTGTCGTTTTACATTATAACACCATCATAAAACTATCGTTTTCCCTTCAATTCTCTCGTATATTGCTACAACAACAGTATTTCTGCTTGACGCAAAATGCTATCTCTAACTACTACAAATCACTTGGCCACACACATATAGCAGCTTGTACAGGATATTGGGGGGGGGGGGGGGGGATTTTACATTTCATACTTGCGGGCTTCCATACCATCAGGAGGTGAAGTCTCGACTCGACCTTTACCCACTTCAGTCCAGTTCGTGGATAGGGCGGTACCATTTGATTCGGTAAAGCTCTTGATCATGGCTCGTCGAGTATCATCATCAGCATCCTTGTAGATTTGTTGGAAGAGAGAGTTCAAGGCGGCATCTCCTTCAGGCTTTTCCGTTTCGACTTCTTTGGTCAACTTGTCCCAGTCGCGAGCCTATAGAAAGTTCGAGATGTTGAATAAGAATCTGAACGATTGGAAGTTCAAGCACGAGTGATATCAACATAAAGACAGACCTTTTTGGAAGAGGTAGGATATGAAGGCCTTGCAGATGCATCAACATTTGCAGACCCCATCAACTGAGGAGCTCCAACCATTTCATCTTCACCTTCCAAAGTACCCCATTTCAAGCCCATCATTTCTTTTTTACATTTGATTTCGATTTTGGTAGACAAGACAGAGTATTTCGAATCTGCTGGTACGATAGCGTGAGCCAAAGGATCCAGTTCTAACGAGTAGTCAGCACCGATTGGTAGTTTGACGGTGACTGAGATGGCACGTTCAGCGAATACGATATTGACGGTATCTGCTTTTACGTTTTTGATGAATATGGTGATTGTCACAAAGTTTTCGTTTTGAAACCATTCGTGACGGACACGTGCTGGAGTGTTCATTGTTGATGATGGAGGTGGAATAGCTATTGGTTGTGTTTCTATTTTTGACTTGCCTAAGGCCGGTTGATTGATTGTGAGATGCATTGAATGGAAAAGGAAGTGTCAAGGTACACGACCTTCACAGCGACAGCACCCTTCACACTTACTGGCTTCAATTTCAGCAGCCGCTTTACGCAACCAGGTCTTTGCAGTAGCATCGTCAGGAGTGATGCTCAAGACAGCCATGAAGGCTCCATGCGCTTCCTCATATCGATCCAATTCAAAGAGGGACAACCCCAACCTCATGTTAGCCTTAGCAATTAGTCCAGATTTTTCATTCTTGTTGGCACCACTATTACTAATGAGTTCTAATACTCTGTTTGCGTCATTGACAGCATTGAGATGTTGGGCCAGTTTGGAAGCAGCTTGTGCTCGTTTTAGGTAAATGTCTGGTCGAGAAGAGTCGATTGCGATGGCTTGGGAGTAGAGAGAGTAGGCAGATTGATAGTTCTCTTCGACAAAGGCCTCGTTAGCCTGTTGGTAGTATCCTATTAGTGGTGAGATGGGTGACCATTTTAGAGTGAATGTTTCTGTGGAAGCTTGACGAATGAAACAGGAAGACCTTACAAAGAACAATCTCATACCTTGAGCTTCAGAATTTATCATTATTATAAATTCAATTGTCCTTTCTATTCTTCTTCTTGTCTCGTTTGCGAGCTGGTGCCTTTATTATGAGTGAAGAGTCAAAACGCTGACAATCGAACGCAAGACGATGAGCATGTTTGACGATGACGAGACGTGTCCAGAGGAGAGAAATGCGACTAAACTGTACATCGGTGTGTTTATACTACTTGGACTTATCTTGTCTTATGCTCCGCAAGTGCGTTTTGTTGAATCAGATCAATTCAGAACACGCATGGCAAATCACTCAAACTTGACATAATCTAGTTGGGAAAGATACATAAAATACGCTCCAGTGAAGGTCTATCGCCATACTTTCTTGGACTGGGTCTGGTAGGCACAGCTGCGACATGGCTCAACACATTAATGTTGCAGTTTGCTGCTATGCAGTGCTGCCAAACTCATGTAAGTTATTGGATGTGTTTGATGCCCATCGTGAATTGTTTGTCTATTGACACCTGCTCCTTTACGTCTACAGTGGTCTCCAGCTGTCTGTTTTGAAAACACGCTAGGATTCACTCAAATGAGTGTTCAAGCTGTGTGCTTTACAGCCCTGCAAGTACTCTCTCTAGCTCATTCTGACCTCTTTTCAACTCGTGGTTGGCTAACACGATAGCCCAATCTCATCCAGATTCGTGCTATTCTACATATACTTTCCACCCTATCTCAAATATCCTGATTCGCCGCGACGGATATATGGACCAGCATACACGACTTCTCTATGGGTTTTGGTTGTCTGCATATCATACATTATAGCCTCGGTCGCTATATCTGCCGTTACACTGGTTACTGGTGCTGGCGATCCAAATCGAACAGCTATTGAAGGTGTTGCGGGGATCTGGGGTGGTGTGGCCACTTTGACTGGTGTTGTTCAGTTCATACCCCAGATATGGCATACGTTTTGGCTCGGAGTAAGTACATATTGTTAGGATTCACTGCGCGAGACACATGGTCGCTGTCATTCACTCACTGCGTTGACGGGCTTTTTCATTGATAGCATCCAGGAGCACTATCTGTCGAAACACTCATAATGCAATGCCCCGGCTCCTTTCTTTTTGCATACTCGCTAGCCATCCAACCAAGAACGAATTGGACGTCATGGCTGCCCTTCTTTGTTGGAGGGATTCTACAATTCGTGTTACTAGCTCTGTGTACATATTTTATATGCAGGAATCCTGCGGTTATTGATTCTGAAGAACGGGAACGATTGTTGGGTAGTATTGATGAGGAGGTTATTATACCGGATGCTGTAGATAATGATGGGGCTGATGGCGTCGATGCAGAAGATGAGGCTAGATCGCCATCACCTAGTGCTCCTCCTGTTGGTATGTGTGGATTTTTAGTTTTCAGGGCTTCTGAAGGTTGGTGCTGAGGCGATCCTCTTACATTGTCTTATGTGACTCTAGAAACAAGGCTGGATCAAGGTCGGCCAAGGTCATATCAAACTATGGGCCGAGCTAAGGGTAAAAAGGCTCGTCGTGATATTGGAAATGGTACTGAGTAAACCCCGATTCTTTTCAATCATAAACACATTTCACTGCACAATAAATTAAAAACATCCTGTTTGGAAAATAAAATTTCATGTGTTGTCTAATAAAACAATTCGAGGGATCTTTAGAGTGAAAATATGTACCTGTTTGGTTCATCAGCAGAGGATGTTGTCTAGATCTGCCTTGGGTTCATAGCATAAGGCACACTTGCCAGTATAGTCCTTTAACAGGTCGATTGCCGCATAGCATGCACTAGCAAGCCTGGCTTATTGCGTCATTATAACCTTCGAGAACCCTCGTTATAGATCGTTCCAAAAACGACATCATCGGGCTCAATGGGATAACATCATTGTTGGTTTGAATGATAGTCAAGAGATCACCAACTCCCGATTACGAGTACACTCGCGGAGTGATCTCTTCGTCAAAGAGTAACAACACAATCCACAGCGAATCGTCCACCAAATCCATTGTCTGAACTATTTCTTTGGTCAGCACACGAGCATCTACAAGCGACGGGACTGGTATGATTGACGCAACACAGCTCTTTCCTATTTGCGTATTCGACATTACAAATGACTCGTTGAATGCAAGGTCGGCCATTTTTTGCAAAGCTCTGTCGTTGGGACTATAGTTGGGTTTTGTTTTCTTTGTAGGGGCTGCAAACATTATGAGGTCGTTCTCGTCTTCTTCACTTGGTTCTAGGAGGAGCAAGTCGTCATCTGCACGATCGTTGACATGTGAAGACAGCTTGGAGGTCGACTTTGAAGACGACGCGATAGGATTCTGTACTTCCAGTAGATTGACGGAGATATTCAAAATGTCCATTTATTTGAGACCTTCTCCATTGGTAGCCAGGTGACTTTGTGAGTTTCCATCATCGACAGCGACTTCAATATTAGAGTATGGATATACTTCTAGATTATCCTAATAAGTACTACAAGCGTGAGTTCTGTTGTATACCTGCTATGTAGAAATAGACAAATCTTGAACGTACGATGGTAAGACTCAAAACAACACTGCTGGAGAGTGTGATGATGAGTTGCGACCTATCCGAATCCTCCTCAATCTTGATACTATGGTCTAGACTCAAGATTTCGATGTCATTCAAAGCCGTGCAAGCCCTATTGCTTGTTCTTCTTCATGTTTGGGGAGCCCTTTCGAAGACACGTTGATGTTTCCGACTTCAGATAGGTGTTTCTATATGCCATAGATAAGATGACATAAAAAATATAAGGCATTTTGTTTATTTCAAAGCCGCTGCGAGAGGCTGCCAACCAAAAAACAAAATTCAAAGATTCAAGAACACCTTTTTGCAAGCTTACCTTTGATCCGGTATGGGGAGCGACGATGATGAGCGATTGTTGCTACAGCTGTGATGAATGCTTATCGGAGTAGCCAGACTTTGGTAAATACTACCTCCCAAAGCTCTGGTTGGTTTTCGTGTTGTGAGTGATTGCGCCTGTGAGATGTGTTGTGGAAGTAGCTGGCACGTTCATCATTTGCTATGTTGTACCTTACGCGTCATGGACATTACTGAACGCTGAAGACACGGACACAAAACAATTTAGTGACAACAGCCAACCAATTCATCGTATTTAGTACCTACAGCATATCACAATGCTTTACTCAAGGAATAACACACTCGCTCCCCCCATCCCTCCTCCCATGCACATACTAAAGGTGTGAGGAGATGTGAGATCCAGGTGATGGTAGGATATCAACGTGTTCCGAACGTGCTCTTACCTAGTAACACCAATCTTCTTGCCTTGGCGACGAAGTTCTGGGATAATAGTGGCAATCTGACGAGCACCCTATTGTGAAGGTTCAGCATCCACTCTAAATTGAGCGTCATAAACCTTGACTCACAGTACATCCCAAAGGATGGCCAATTGCAATGGCACCACCTTTAGGATTGACCTTGGAATAGTCGAGACCCAGCTTGTCAATGGAGTATACAGCTTGGGATGCAAAGGCTTCGTTAATTTCGAAAATGTCGATATCGTCCTTTGTCAGTCCAGCATGAGCTAGAACTTTAGGGATGGCATAGGCTACAAATTGAAGACGGAAAAAGATGAGTATCAATACAAAGGTGTCCCTTTACTTGCACAATTACCCGGGCCAATTCCCTTTTTGAAAAAAAAGTCAGCTCGCCGTTCTTGAACTCAGAAGGAATACAACACATACCATGACTCGAGGTGGTACGCCAATAGTGGCGAAAGCTGCAAATGTCGCCAGGACTGGCAATCCAAGCTCTTGTGCTTTTTTGCGTTTCATCATGAGAACAGCCGCTGCTCCGTCGCTGACTTGAGATGCATTTCCAGCGGTAGTAGATCCTCCAGCTTTGAATGCTGGCTTCAATTTGCTTAATCCTTCCAAGGTAGTGTCCGCTCGAATACCGTCATCGTCAGCGACAACAACGCGCTTCTTTGAGCCATCGGATTGCATCATCTCGACTTCAATGGGCTTGATGAGTGGAAAAAATATAAGACAGCTAATTGCGTTCGGCGAAATACAGAGATATTTCGAGAAGGAGAAATCGACGATTTTTAGACTCTAGTAACCTACCCAAATCTCTTCCTTGAAGTAGCCAGCTTTTTGAGCAGCAGCAGCTTTCTTGTGAGACATGACTGAGAACTCGTCTTGCTTTTGGCGACTGATGTTGAAATCAGCTGCCACATTTTCGGACGTGATTCCCTAGGAGAATGCCGAATTCAGAGTCAGGTTCGAGATTAAAGAACATCACTGTCAATTAAGAATCGAAGAAGCAGCCAGACATACCATGGGAATGAGAGCGTCAGCAACAACAGGGTTTGCACGCAAGATCTTTTCAGATACTACGGCAGGAGCTCTATCGCCATAACCGTTACTCATGCTTTCTACACCAGCACCAATTCCGATTTCGATGGTTCCAGTAGCAATAGCTGCAGCAATATAATGGGTCGCCTGAAGTCCTGAAGAACAAGCTCTGTTTGTAGCAGCCAGGGAAGTGGTCTCTGGGAATCCAGCTGCCAGCGCGGCCATTCGGAATTCCATGGCACCAATGGACTGTTTGATAGTGTTTCCAACATGAATGTCTTCGACGAGCTCTGGTTTGATGCCTGTCTTTTTGATGACACCTTCCAAGATCTTTTGGAACAAGGTTTCGGCTTGAGTATCCCTTAAAGGACCACGTTTTCCCTTGGTGATAGCAGTACGAACTAGTAAATTAGAGATTTCAGTTTCCAGTTAGGACATTGCGTTCCAAGAAACAAATCGTGGGGTTCTTACTGGCGCAGACAATTACTACATCGTCAGGATGCTTGACATTTACTTTGGACTTGTGGAGAGCCATAGCTGAAGCTATTCAAATCAATAATGTGATTACAGCGATTGCTAGATGTGGACAGCCGTATTATGATGCGTTACGTGAGTAATACAAGTTCAACTGGCTGGACAACAAGAGAGATGCTGGAACTCGGCACCTTTTGAACGTAGATCTAGTTAATATTGACTGTAAAACTTGCAGGCTCAATATCTGACACGTATTCAAAAGTTCACGGTCAACGGCAGAGAAAGCAAATGCACATCACAGAATTGTGCATGGTGGACAATGACATACAGTCGACGTGTTTCCAAGTCAAGAGAGAGGACAGGTACGTGACGCAGCACATACACATCACCGAAATAGCTCCATGGAAATTTCTAATCCGTTGACCCTCAATCACATCAAGTTTTCTTTTCTTTTTGATCTAACTTTCCACTTCAACAGCAACAAAAGCAACTAGCCAATATCATAGACGTCAAACTCGTATACCAAAGCCACCATATAGCCTTTATATATCTATATCCAATAGCCACTCTCTCTCACACTGGGGGGTATTATCAACACCAAACAGTCTTCAACTAGAACCGCCAGTCTTCATCACTCAAAGGTGATGAGAAAACCACCTTAGTTTATATCTATACACCTACTCCCAAACAATTCCAATTCCCGGTCCCATCAAATTGAACTGTGACATCCTCGTCAATCAATCACTCTGTTAATCACACCCCAACGAATAGAGTTGGGAAAGTTATGAAGGGTCTTTTTTACTTGAATACCAATCCAAGATTATAAATTCAAATAAAAAATGGCATCATGGGCTGTCTTGTCTGCACGTCTTCACACGTAAGATACCCACATGTGATTGTACGTAAAATTACGCACAAATACTCATTCATTTCGATACATAGGAATGCTCCAATTGTAGCTAGCACTGCTGCCGCCGCCTCTACTCCTAATGCTTTGGTTAGGACATCGTCTGCATCATCGTCAACTTCAACTTCACCACTGTCTTCCCCAGCCAATGAACCTGCTGGATCCCATATAGGACATCAAACTCGCCCTGTAAATCATTGGGCGTCAGTGGCTGCGTTACGTGAACGCTTGGCTCAGCTGAATGCATAATAAAATTACTGGTAGTTTGTCAACCTTTGCACCCAAATAATATAAATTCAGCTTTGAAAAGATGCGCTTGCACTTGTGATACGCTCCCTTTGACATATTGCATGAACGGGTACCAAAACAAAGGCAAAGTGTATGAGTTCTGTTCTTTCTATTGTCTTAGATAAAAAACAATGATGGGTGAGGTTCATATAATTACGGTAAAAAGTCCCTACTAGCTGTCTTTATAAGTCCCAAAAGCATTTCTATATGGTTCCCTCCAATGACTTTAAAAACAACTTAAAAAAACTTGGCAATAAGGAAATAAAAGCAACAACTACTATTTACTGACAGTGCTCAAGAGAAGGTATCTTTCAGCACCTCCCTTCTCTCTCTCTTCTTTTCTCTTTCTGTTTAAAAAAGCTTCAGATTTTTTGGTGTGGGGTTTCGACTCTCCAATCCTATAGTCGCCCTTGCCCCAAATCATGTTCATCTTTGGGCGGTGGTGCTGGTCTCATATCCGACGTCATAAAGGATGCTAAAGAGGCGTTCTGTTGTTGTTGAGCTGCCACTGCACTACTCATCCTAGGTGGTGGTAAATCAGCAGCACTAGTTGCCACAATGGGTCTACCATATGCTTGAGGCCACATGAGAGACGTGGCGCGTGACGGTGGAATCTCGGCATCATTCTCATCTGCTGTTTGCCTATACGAATCTACAGAGTCATCTGATGGAGTCGGTGATGACGAATATGGAGATGAATCATTCGAAAATGATAATCTACCAATATTATGTTGTCCTAGTGGTGTCATCGGTGTTTTTACATCTTCGGATGAGTCGGCTCGAGATGAGGGTGATGTACCAACATCTGTTCCGTATACTATAGTGGCTGCTGCTCCTCCAACCATTGTATCCGACGACCGCTGTGAATCATCGGTGGTCGACTCTAAATCCTCCCCTTTATCTCCATATGTGATTTTTACAGCTCCCATGGCAGCAGACATGGACGTCCGTGGTGGCAACACACCAGCTCCAGCTGCACCACGTGTAGTCAGCGTCGTCCGAGTCGTATAATTGGATTTTAGCGATCGTCGTGAATTGCTTCGTGACATCCTAGACCGTTGTGATCCCCTTCTTACTGGTCCAAAGAACCCTGGTACATCTTCCATAATCAATGGAATGGCTGCTTCTCGTGATCCCCACGACCTTACATTCCAACAATACAGCGAGTAGATCAGAGTGATTAAATACAGCCATGGTGTCAGTAACACCAGGAAGGGATACATGAAGAACACTTTTACTCGGCGAAGTGCTATGGCATATATACCCAAGATGAGCCATCCGATAACCATGGGTACAAAGAGCATCAGAAGCATAGCGAATCTATATTTGACTCCTGTAAAGATTTGGAAGAGGACTACGAATAGCAAGAACGCGACAGATCTAACAAGAGGAGAGACTGTTAGATTCATGCAATCCCTACAATCCTTTTTTGTTGCGCGAGCATACGAGTGCTACTAGATGTGTAACCCAAACCTCAGTAAATAAAGCTTACCGAGAGGCGAATTCCAGAAGTTTATACGCCACAAGTAGTGGTGCAGTCTTCCACATTGTCCACGATGCCATAAAGTGACATTCGTTGGCAAAGGCACCCAACAGCCACCTACGACGTTGTTTCAAGAAGCTCATAAAGGTGTCTGGGCCAACAGTCTTTGCTCTAGCATGTGGATGGAAACCAACAGCGTGTAGTGGATGTCCTTCCATGAGCAGTTGAGTCAAGAAACGATCTTCTCCGAGATAGAATCGGTGGTAGTCGAAAATGTGACTCGTGTCAAGATTTACAAAGTACTGTAATGGAATTGTACGGATGTGTCAGAGGAGTTGCTCTTCATCGTTCGTACCGAAAAGGCCCTGTAAGTTTTTTGTCTCACCTGCTCAGCAGCCAACATCAAGTGATTTAAACGAATGACTGTCAATGCTCCGGGCAAACAACATACAGCACCCAAAGCTGCCTCCAGTGCTCTCTTAAACACTTGACCGACTACGTATTCGACGTCTTGTAGGTACCACAAAAAGTTGAACGACGAAGAGCTATAAACAACAAATTAGTTAAAACATGGTGTACTCGGTTCATTGCTCATCACCGCACTACCGCCCAAATCGTCCTTACATGCAACTGATGAAACCAGTCATACTGACAAGGTGTCGTTCACGTTCCATAGCATCAACGAAATTGGCAACACAGTATCGTTCCAAAATGGTATCGGAATCCATAAACATGACGTAAACGTCATCGGCATCAGGTCCATACGCTCTTCTGATTTGCCTGTATGTTTGCGCCTGTGGTGCAATACATGTGAGTTTCAAGCCAAACAAAATACGATGACGTATGACTATGCAGAAGCATACCTGAGTGCGAGCTTTACCACCGTGCGGAAATCGATTCACGGTAATCCAAACACCGTCACCAGCTAAATGGACTGTATGTGGGTAGCCTTTGCCATCAGGCTTGGGTGGAATGCCTAATTCTTCCATAAAGCCCAAGTAGAGGTCTGATTCTTCTTCATCGTCGAATGAGAAATAGGCATGTAATGATCGGGCGGGATATGATGAATCCAAAACTGATCGTGCTGCACGAGATAGTGCTCCCAATTCTTCGTGGTCTGTTTAATAAGAGGTATGGTGTGAGATCTCTGGCTCGCTGACAAAAAACTTAATCCGACTCTCATGGGGAATCATAAAGCTTACAAATGGGCATCACAACCACAACGGTTGGCGTCGGTTTAGTATCTTCCCTGCTGTATCTTCTAGGGATTTTGGACGAGGAGGCATATGCTCCTACATCTCGATACTTTAAACTCCACACGATACCCGCTATCATGGGTAGAGCCATCATGATCATGTAAATGGCCACCTGAAGAATATTCACTCAGTCAGACTGATCTTAAGTTTTATAACATTCGAGGTAACAGCTTACCAGCACGACGAAAGCAATCTTGAACATTGCCGTCGTAGGTACTGGAATGCCAGGAATAGGTATGACGGACCACATGAATGGCACAATGAATAATCGCACTACTATAAATGCGATGATAGATAAAAACGGCGTGACCTTTTCGGTGAAGAAGTGTGTTAGGACGGAATTGTACAGGGGATATTTCAGTTCGTTGTAAACATCTGGGCCCCATAAATATGCAATTAGTGAGGGCGATTCTGATCGCCGTCGGTGTTGCTGTTTGTGTTTTTATGGTTCACCACAGTCACACCATTCCAGTGTCCGAACTTGAGCAATGTACCTTTTTGGATCCATGGACCTGATCAACAACTAGGGCCATTCCATAGATAAAGACAATAGTATACAGTAGGAAATCAAACCAGGTGATGAATACAAGTACTGACAAGACAGTCCATTCTGCAATGCTCTGCTTGTAGGGGTCCGTTGCATCAGAGCTCATAAGAGCACCTAATTAGGAGGTAGTATTTTAGTACACCACCAAATATGCTCACAACTCCATTCTTGACCAGCAATAGCCGTTGATAATTGCAAAAACTCGTTGCAAACTCCGACAACTATAAAACGTTTTGCCCTCCCAAAAACAGGCGTTGCCAAGCGAGGGAAAGTGGTTGTCTCACGATGATCCGTTAAAGATCCAGCAATAAACTTACTGATTGCATCGTCTAATAAGTCTCGTTCGGCAAGTGCAACCAGGCCTTGGTTGAGTGGTTTTACACTTTCGGACTGGACAACGGCATTCACAGCGACCGAAGCACCACTATCCCTTGACGAGGCCATTCCAGAAGCTCCTATGACTGAGCCTGCAGCCATCGGAAACTGTATAGCTGTTGCCACCAAGCATAGCAACACTAGTGAATTGGCATACACGCTCTTTTGCATGTTTGGAATTCTACAAGGTGATGAGCACCGTTCGGTACAAGGATTCCTTCGTCTCTATACCTTCGCCAGCTCTGTAATATACTCTGGCACCGAGCTACTTGGTTGCGATTCGTCCTTAACCGTTTGTTGGGTTGCTTTCTTGTCCTTCGTTTCGTTTCTTGCTCCAGGAGAAAAAAGAACAAGAAGCTACTCACACTCCGAATAACAAATTTTTTGTCGGCGCGACGGCCGGAGTGACTTGACAACTATTTTATTAGCAAGTTGAGCGGGGAGAAGCATCTAATTCGATCTCCTGTATATCAGCTGCGTAGTCTTTCATAAATGGAACTTGTATTACTATTTACAATGCCGCTGTACTGATTTTGTTGGTGTGTCCACTCTATAATATTTTAGCAATTCTAAACCACCGTCTCCTTCTAGTTAGAGCAAACATTGAACGTTGAGCAGATGGCTCCTTCCAAAGATGATTTGTATAGATCCACGCTTGATCATAACTAGTCACACCAGACCATTCTCCAAGATGATCCAACAACCATTCTGACTCCCACTGACAGCCTCGCGGAGGATCGTCATCATGCTTTGGGGCGTGTAAAACGACCGTTCCTTCCAAATTGCTGAACGGCGGCCTCTCACTTGGTAGTAATATCGACGAAAAGCCACATCCTAAATAAACGTTGATGAGCCTCTTGACAAAATACGTATTTCGGCCACTTGAAGAGAATAATACGAGCTCACCAAACCACCATCGTTGATTTTCAAAGACGGAAATCGTTCGTTTTGTCATGTCCCTGACAACTGCATTGTCGTGATTCATTGCTCTCTGTAGCATCTGGTAGAGATACATCACGACTTGTTTCAACATTGCCATACCAAACGGCGACGATATTATAAACACCCAATACACAAATCCAAGAATCAAGTATCTGATTTCGACCAATTGGACTATAAACAGCGATACCACCATGCTCAATGTAGTGCATACCAGTATAATACACGTGTGAGTATTATCAAGTCCCATAAAGCATATCCAAGTAGCCTCTAGCTGGTCGTAAACATGGTTGTAGTCGCCCATCAAATTCTGTAAGAATTGAAGCTTCAAATCGAGCTGCTCAGGCGATTCAGTGATTGTTTGCTGTGTCGTCAGAGACAGAGCAGTGGAGAAAAGATATGTTGGGTCCAGATATGGTCTCTCATTGGCGACAGGCGTGATTTTTGACGGTATGTTTGAAAGGTAATTGTTGACCAGCAACAATAATGGTGGTATCAGGAAAAGAAGTAAAGGATAAAGACCTACAAAAACCTAAAATGGCTTAGTCCACCAGCTTCCACTTGATATGGAGGTTGCGGCTTACACGTTGCAGTAAGCACACACAAAAATGTCAATGTATAAAGCGGATCTTCCCATAATAATATACATCGAGTCACATAATGAAGCCGCCGTATTATGCCTATCCGAAGCAGCGTCTTAGCTGTGTTTTCATTAAATGTAGAGACCTGTCGGTGAAAAAGATGTCAGCAAAATGTTGAGAATTATTTCTTGGTTTCATGGCTCACAGAGAATGGTGGATTTGCAATCCTCTGTCTTCTAGCTATATCTTCTGATATATGGACTGCTTCCCGCAGCAGCTCGTCCATCATTAAGTGTTTTTAGCTTGCTTGAACCGCAGCAAAGTTCCGACAAACAAGTTGACGACGTGGGCGGAATCAGAAGAACAAATCGACGCAAATCGAGACAGACAAAGTGTTTTAAATGGTGTAGAACTGCCGAATCAGTGATGGATCGGATGCGAAGAGAGCATTTCACAAAAGGTCCGCTTTGAGCAATAGAAGCGCTGAGAGAGGAAATCTCAGTCACAAAAAACACTAATACACCTTATTACATCGTATTCAGTCTATTCAGCTATGCCTTGCTTGTAATACACCTTGCGACTTCCTTCTCTTAATCTACAAACGCTAGCATAACTTGGTTGCAGGTACTTGATCAATCCCCTATCCCGCACATGGCTTTCATGACTGGCAAACCATTGCTTGGCTCCCGCTTCTCCATTGATGGTCAGCTCGTAATTTTTTGTGATGCGGCAATCCATGGCTTGACTTTCTCAAACATCCCAAGATAGCTACAATGGACGACGTGTGAGTGTTTCGTTCATCGAAGAGAGTTCACAGAAATATATTTCTTCGACTCACCAAGCCGAGATGTCAACGAATACACGAGCCATGGTGGTTTGGAATTGAGACGGAGTTCCTGATGATGACAGCACTGTCTGTTTCTTCGATGATACCACCGAGAGCCTCGTACAATCCTTTCAGGCAAGGTTTAGTTCTACGCAATAGTTTACGATCACGTTTTGCTACAGCTTCATTGTGAGCGGCCTATTGATAAAGCGAAGTAAGAAGGTTGTTTGCGACATCGGTTCAACATGTGTAGTACCTGCCCAATGAGAATATAAATCTCAAACATTTCACGTTTCGGGTGAGTACGGTCAGGACTGTAGGTTGACAACATGGCCTCGTACTCGTACCAAAGAGTTTCACAGAGTTGATTCATGAGTGCGAGTCGGATTCAATCGAGTGGGCTTTAGCAGTATAGATTTCCCGTATATAGTCACGCATCATGACCTTTTCATTCCCATCATGTTCGTCAGCCATACAGATCTCACACTACTAATTTCCAGAGGTCAATAGACTCTATGCAACCTTTCAGCCACTCATCATCCGAGCCATTTAGGAGCACATGTACCTTCTTTATAGCTAAGAACGACACGGCTCATATTGATAAGATCTATTGTAGGAGAACGTCAGAACATAGATTTGTCAATGAGTGAAGAAATCAAAATCTTTATCAAAATTGGCTCATTTCCGCTGCGAAAACGTGATAGAATGCAACTTACTTGTATAGAAAATCGAACCCATCAATACAAAGAATCTAAATTCAACTATCCGACAGCCTTTCTCGTGTGTTTCAGTTATGTCTGGCTAGTTTGTTGACATTTGACATTTGACGATTATAAGTTTGCCTCCCAGGTGGGATACACGCTAGACGATAGGATTCGCAACTTATTACGCGTATCTATGTTGGAATATAACTGCGCATCACAGCTTTTACGGCCGATTGAAAGAAAAGGAAGAAGCAAAACGGTCGACAGCTCACACTGACAATCCAACAAAGCAACAGAGATCACAACAGAACAACCATGCAGGCCTTAACTAAGCAGCAAATAGGTCTTGGAACTGCCGCAATAAGCATCTCGCTTCTAGGATTGGTACGGAACTGGGCTGCTGGAGGTGCTTGTTCGACAAAGGATTTGAACAAAAACTTGAAGGGCAAAGTCATCATTATCGTAAGTGGCAAACACTCTTTGATGGAATTTTCTTAAACTTTAAGAGCAGTAGCTTTGAAATTGCGCCCTCTTTTCGTTCTCTCTGTCAGCTCGATCTGCCTTATTGCTTTCTCACTCCCAATCTCAATCTCAAACCACCTTATTAGACCGGATCAAACACCGGAATTGGCTACGAAACAGCACTTCAACTGGCCAAACAAGGAGCCACTATCTGTGTCGCTTGTCGTCCGTCCCAAAAGACACACGATGCAGTAAGAACTATTCGTGAGAAATCAAAGAATGAAGATGTCTTTGCTTCAGAATTGGAACTGGACTCTATGGACTCCATTCGTGCCTTTGCTGAGAGGTGGATTAAGAGTGGAAAACCCGTAAGTTGCAAACTGTGGCGGGGTTCACTCGTTTGGGGTCACACATTTTGACCAAGTCTAATCCAGAGCTAACTAACTACAACTGATCTGAATAGATCCACATTCTCATCAACAATGCTGGCGTGATGGCAATTCCTGAGCGTCGAGAGACCAAAGATGGCTTTGAAATGCAGATGGGTAAGCTCCTTGATCAGATTCTGCAAGCTCAAACTTCTGACTCAATCTGTACTTAGGTACCAACCACTTGGGCCATTTCTTGCTCACGGAGCTCTTGTTGGAAACAATCAAGTCCTCAGCTCCCGCTCGGATAATCAACTTGTCCTCTATTTCGCATTCTCGAAATGGACCTGACAGCAGAGGATCTTTCATTAATGTAAGCTATATCCAGTTGCCACCGTCAACAGCTTTCAATGCGTGATAGCTAACTTCGATTGTAGTTTGACGACTTCCAAAGCAAGAAGGACTACGCAGGCCCTCGTGTCTACTCAAGGACAAAATTGGCAAACATCTTGTATACAGACAATTTGGCTAAACGATTATCTGGGACCGGTGTAACTGCTAACTCGTTGCATCCTGGTGTCGTGAGAACTGAGCTCATCCGACATGTGAATGTAAGCGGCCGGAAAAACCAATCCGGAAAGACATTTTGAAGCTTAAACGTGCCTTTTATCATAGATTCCATTTTATGCTTGGTCTCTCTATCCCATCGCCATGATCGTCACGAAAACGCCATGGGAAGGAGCTCAGACTACCCTCCACGTGGCACTGTCTGACGAATGCTCGCAGGTAACGGGCAAATATTTTGCTGACTGTGTCATCAAAGCTAAATCGGCACCTCAAGCCGAGTCTGTTGATGCTGAAAATACTCTGTATGAGATCAGCAAGAAACTTGTGAAACTTTGACGAGGCTCAATCGTGATAAAACGTGTGTATGTGAGTAGGTGAAAATAAAATATGACGTGAATAGCACGTTTTTCTCTAATTGGAATGAGGCTCGGAACCGCAACACAAGATTTGTCAATATATGATTGAAAGGCGGATTGACGACGCTGACACCTAATCCACGTCCTCTCTCATCATGAATAAAGAATGCACAGGCCAATAGTTTTGCTATGATAGACGATTAATGAGATTTCTTGCTACGGAGTGTTTGAATCATGCACAAAGACTTACCTGGACAGGCAACAAGTCGACCCACTATATGTGTACCAGTATACATCATGGGATAAGTCTAGCATGTGAAGCGAATTAGCGTAATTCTGACTCATTTTCTAGCTTGGTACATCGTGTTGGTTGGATTCTGACAGAAGTCTACTGCGGCTCCTCATGTCAAGCATTTTGCAACCCAATTTTGAGAATGGTTTCTGCGAGATCAAGAATTGGAATTCACTTTGATACCTGTTTTAATATGAGTTAGAATGATGTGGAGTGTCACGTATGTTGGAGAAAAGGGAGGGTTCTTGCAATGAAAGCAACAAATGTTGGAAAATCTGACACCACAGCGAGACTTACTAAGAGCGAGAGAGTAATGTTTGTAATTCAATGATATCATGCAATGCGATGCTCCTTTGATCTGATTCTGAACGAGATATGTTTCACTGCTCAGTGCTCCCGCAGCTCAAGCAACAGGGCGATGTTCAACAACCCACAATCTACATACCGCGAGGATATCAATATACGGACCAGGGCGTTATGTTGACGCGCTGAGTTCAGAATTTGTTTCAACTGCTGAGTGATGCGCAACTGATCCAGACACAGGAACGTGATTGTCGGATAAAAGCATATTTCGTAAATTTCAGAATATTATGCTGTATAGATAATTCGTATATATGCTGGAGTTCCAGAAACAGCAACCTCTCCTTCTCAAACGACGCAAGTCAAGTACATGACAAATACCAAAATACCAAAAAGACCATCTTGAGTAGCGACAACTCCACTGGCTTTAGGATTGCCATCTACTCCATCAATCTCAGTTCCATTGGTACCAGTAGAAGTAGTGTTTCCAAATGGATTCCTGGTAGTAGCAGTGATGTTTGATTCAGGAGAAGAGATACAAGAGTAATTGCCATTTACTACACCATTCTTCACTATTCGGTTTTGAAAGGGAAATGGGCATAAGTGTGTGCTGCACAAAGAAATCAGTGAGAAGCAGCAACTTACATTCACTCAAAGACCCACAACTAACTGGAGCAGCCACCTTCAAGGCACCATCAACGCTCTGAATCGAAGGCATTGAAAAGTTCCTCAGTGCCTTACTGGATACATCCACACTTCCCTTAACCGACACAAGAGCAGGCATAGCCAACTCCTTCAATATTGTATCATTGGCAACAAATATAGTACCACCAACAGCCTTCAAGTTTGGCATCGATACAGAACCAAGACCAGGATTGTTGCGAATAGACAAGTCCTTATGTACTTCCTTGACTGGTAGCGATAGGTTGCTCAATCGGGTTTCTGAGATGTCGACCTTGCCAAAGACGTGTTGAAGAGATGGGAGTGATAGTGATGAAACCTGGGTGCTGATAAAGTCACTGTTGCAGACAGTCAAGAGTGGGAAGCTTGCGGTGTTTCTGATTCCGAGGTGAAGGGCGTTGATGCGTTCCAAATTTGAGAATGTTGTAGAGTCGAGTGATGGATTTCCCTATGAGAAAATTTAGTTTACTGGTGGCTCTTTTTCGTTGCATCGAGTTCGCAATCACAATCCATAGCTTACATCAATCGTCAGAGTATCAAGACCAGATACAGTAACTCCAGTCAAGGATACCAGGCGTCCATTATTGACTACTTCTATATTCTTGACTGACGAGAGACCACCAAAGTCCAATGCACGAAGAGCTGGGTTGGTAGTAATCTGGAGAGATCCGACAGAAGTGAGAGATGGAATAGATAGTTTCTAAATATTAATAAAAGAAAATTGGAAAGCTTGTTAGTACCATATTGCATAAATAGTCATTAGTGTGCGTCTTTTTTTCATTTATACCTCCATGCTCGTATTATTCTGAACCACCATGTTACCACCGATTTCCTTGAGACCATCCAAAGCGACATCAGGAAGAGCAAAGTTCTTTTCAATTGTCAAGTCCTATATAAGCCAGTAAATTTTTTGTCAGAATTTAAGCTCTAGAACACACACAAACACATAAGCACATACATTTTGAATTTCAGTCAACGAAGGAAGAGCCACACTTAAAGTGAGATCATTTGATCCAATATAAAGACTACCCATTTTAGTGCACTGCCTATGTGCTGCCATGTTGGAGGATGTGAGCTGGACATTATCACATGATTGTCCAGCAACAAGTGTTGATAATAGCATGGTAGCAGCAGCCAAACTCCTGAGCATGTTTGATTTGGGGTAAAGATACTTGAAGTTCTGGGTCTTTGGTAATATCAGTACTGCTTTTGTGGGGGAAGTGAGGTTTGCGTCAAAAACTGAAGTGAGAGCTTAAACAGTTTGTGTTGCAAACAGAAACTTGACGTGACGTGGGACAAACCACGAGGAACACATACGATGGATATGAGAAAAGCATTTGACGTTTTATTATCGGCGAAACGGGAACAAGGAATTTCTTTAAACTTTTTAACTTGAACTAGACGATCCCGAGGATTGACTTGGCAAACTTGAAGACGATGATGGTGTTGCAGGCGAAGCCAGTGTAGCAACGTTACGATCAAAAACTGACCATTTTATCATCATTGGAACATTCTGTCTTCGTCGCCTCAATGATGGCTTGTCAGAGCACGATGGTGATTCTGGTGTGATAGCAGCTAAATCACTCGTCCTTAAATCCTTGTATTCGCGAAGAGATCGCTTTAGGTCTATATGAGGTGAACAATCGAGTTTCTAATAGTGCGATGGAGAAAATGGGTTAAAGCCAAATGCAGGAATTGGTTTCAATATTTTTTTTGGTTGGACATACCTCAATCAAAGAATCTAGTCTCAGAAAACGAGATCGAAGGGCCTCTCGATCTTGCGGTGTACCACTTGGAATGCAGGATACGAGACTTGAGATTAAACTAACACATGAGATCTACGAGAAAAAGCCAATAGACGTTAGCAATACAAAGAAACTGGAAGAATTCATGACCATGGCAGGATCACCATCGCGTTCAAGGCATCACGTTCCCGTACACTACTTGGCACAGCAGATACAGATCGTATACAAGTCCATCCGTTAGCTCGACTCCGTATCTGAACAAATGTATTCCTAGCCTTCTTGGACATGCCACTCCAATTTCGAGCTTTCTCGGTAACCATGTTTTCAAAATCCATCTTCAAAGAATCGAATCTCGGCTCTTCGGCGTCTTCTTGACCTTGTCCACGTAAATCTTGATGGCTTGACTCGACTTGACTTGATGAAGTTCGTGATATACCCTTTTGCAACAGACTATTCATTCTGGAGTTTTGCTCGAAACAGTCATGCTTCTTTTGCTGGCTTTTAGTAGAGCCCTGCCATTTCGTATCGTCTAAAGCATCGAAAACATTCTTCCATTCACCGAATCGAAGCATCACAGTCAGCAAATCAAATACTGCGATTCGATTTTGTACTGGTGGTTGAGAACGGTGGGATTCCAGGGATCGAGTCGGGGATTTGAGGTGTTGAAGTATAATGGCAGCGTGGATGCGTAAGGAAGGAATCATGGCTCGCCGTCCAATTTCGATTTTGCATAATGATTTTGTAATTTTGACCAATAGTAGATGTTTCTTCCAGGTAGATGTCGACCTGTTTGGTGTTTGTGTCAACTCAGGCCTACAAAAATCAGTTTTCCGCTGGTAAAATGACATACTTGTAAGAAGCATTTCTCACGCTCTCAAGCATCCGTATAACATTAAAAGCACCACGGGCAGCTATGAAGTCTTCCAACCACTTCGGGGATTCAGCAGCCACACAGGTTGCAACCGGAGTCAAATTCTCAAGTTCTTGAACAGGATTCGAAAATCTGAATCTCGAATTCATGGATATTGAGGATGCCATAAGAGTTGCATTAGACGGTAGATTCTAATTAGAATTCATGAGAATCAGTATTCTAGGGTGTATCTACATATGTTTGTTTGTCGTTCATCCTACAGCACACATACAATCTTATCACGATGAGCAACCACAACTTTCCATTTGAATTCAGACGAGGATATCTTCAATGAGTTGACTTGCTCTGCCGGTATTTGTAATTCGACCTATTGTTGATGGTTAAAAAAATGCAACAAAAGATTAATCCACCAACAAGCATTTACCAGTAATTCCATAAATAATCCATCGATAACATCATCGCTGGGTCGTAAATTTTGTGAAATCGGTGCGGCAGCATCTCCCTTTTCAAGTTCGGCTGCTGGCGCCAACTCTGCTTCATGAACTGTTGCATCGACAGAAGGGATTTCGACGGCTGGGAAGGTATCTGCCAGCTTGCCATCGTGATGGCAATTTGCAGTTGGCTGGATACGTCTGGCAAACATTGAGCGACCGCTTATCTTTCAATGGGTTGTTTTTGTGTGTGGTTGTGTTCTGAAGTTGGAAGCAAATCTAACTATTTTGGCCGTTTCTTTTTTGTATAAGCACCACAACAACCATACACACACAATGGATAGTTTCAAAAAGTATAAATTTCAATTAACTTCTCTTTATTCACAAAGCATCAGAAATTAACAACATTTTTACAACGACGACTCATTTATTGCAGCTTCCTTTTCAACTTTTTTTCTTCTTCACCTAAGATAATAATAGATAGACATCAGCAAAAAGGTCCCGGTTGGATAACTTGATAGGTTCCAACTTACCAAGGCGAATTTAATATACTCGAGTTCCTATCACCCAAATGGAAGTTGGGACGACCACCACTTCCAGCACAAGATGCTGTCTTGGGTTCAAATAGAGCCATAGGAAAAACTCCATTCTGACCAGTTCTTTGGTTTGTTCCACATCCCCACCTAAAACAAAAAGTACAGAGACGCGTGAGGTGATAGTTCAAGTAAGTAGTACTTAGAAAAAGACAAATAGAAAGGCATGACTGTGGACGTACCCATCATCGAATCGTTCTTCAAGAACCACCACGTCATCCCGAAGTATTTCAATCTCATCACGAAGCCTTGGTATGAATGGCTCAACACAGCGCCTATTTGCCAACGATCAAGATGAGTTCTTCTAGATTCACTGATTTGTTCTGTTTTGTATTGAGAACAAAAAACACCTTTGAGAAAGAAAACTTCTTGACAACTCACCACTCTTCTTGTAACCCTTTGGCGGGAACTTGATCACGATAAAGGGGTGGCATAGGAATCGTTGGTATAATCTCAGGGAGTTGATATTGTCCTTGTTGCTTTGAAGGTGGAAATACAGAAGCACGAGCAACTGTAAATTTGCGTTCAAGTCCACCAGAGTCGAATCCAGGCTTGCCAACTTGTCTTGGAGAGAATACAACAGATTTGGAAGCATGGACTTTTGTGTTGTCTGAAAACAAGATTGCAGTCTTGTTTTGAGCTCGAAGTCTCAGTTCTGCTTTTGCGCAAACCATGCATCCTAGCGTCATAACAAGAAAGGCCGAGACTGCAGATGCCACAAATACGTACTAAATCATTTGAAGCAAATTGCGGTTAAGAGCAGTGAACGAAAGAAGAAGTTGGTGCCCGTACTGCATAATACCATACCGTATCGTTTGGATCAGCTACAGCTTGAGATAGAGTCACTTGGAATAATTGATTTGCACTACTACAGCATGGATCCATTGTAGTAGGGGACATACAATATGATTTTGTGGTATTTGGATTGACAAATCCTATGCGTTGATAAATGAGTATGTCGCCAGGTCCATACTCCAGGATTTCAATCGTAGCAATGCGACATTCAGTCACGTATACATATACGCATTCATCCATGTCTGAAATCTCATTCCAAATCAATACAGTACCTTATACTCACCACATTGAGCAAGATCACTAGCCAAGCCAGACGAGCAAGCACTGTTTGGCAAGACATTACAATACATTGAAAATGGAGACTGCGACACATCAAATGTGCGCATATTCAACTGACTCTTTTGATTTGGATCAGCTGTTGTGCTTGCAATAGCAGTACATTGCAATGGATCAGCGTATGTGTCTTTTAGTGATTGAAGGAATGCGGCACATGTTGATTGACATAGTGGTTTGATTGTAATAGCAGCTGCTTCTGGACATTCAGCAGCAGCAAACGAGACCAACTATCATTAGGGCAAAATATGGTGAATTCCAATAAAGTAGTATGACGTGTCCAGTGGGTCTTCACATGTTACATCCAATAATCAAAACATGCGACAAGGCTTATGCGTTCATGAAATCACTTCATACGATGATGAGCTTACATAGTCACATAACACACTGGTATGGAATCTCAGACTGCCAGTGAAATTGGTGCATCCATAGGCTGATTGGAATGCAGCGACATAAGTAGGAGACGATTCAATAGAAGAAGCGATGTAAGCATCAAAGCTGGCCACATCAGTAAATCGATCGGAAGGCACAAGCCCTGTAGGTTGAATATGGTTGTGGTTTGTATCAGTGTTGGTTGAGAGGGTGACTTCAAGATGTTGACCAAGAAGCAACAACGAGTACAAAATACAAGAAATGGCAATGAATATATGATGTACGTACATGAACCAGTCAAATCCGGACAGCCTTTTGAGCCAGTAAGCTGAAAGCAAGGGGCAACAGCTGTAGCGCCCTGTTGAGCTACTCCTGTGACTTGAGCTCGACCAAGAGTAAGAGATCCTAGCCATAAGAGACCACATATCAATTGTCTCATATGTTCAATTCAATAATGGCGTATTCTTCTATGTTTTGTTCTTGTTTTTCAACCGCTTTTCGCAATGCACAACAGATTGTTTTTGGATGTGAAGATGACGCTTCAGCTTCAAGGCTTTTGTTGGACTTGCTGGACGAATAAGTCGGAGCTTGACGCGTACATTAAAATGAATTACGGCAAATTCTATAGTCAATTGTTTCGCCTTCTGAAATGTCACGGTCGCTTGTCGCTTGCTGTGTTTGACTTTGTCATGAAGCTTTCAAGCACGAAGAGGGAGAAGGGAGGGGCTATAGATACACAGATCTTGTTATTGGGTGCTTGCCAATAAGATATGCAAGGAGGCAAGCTCAATACTCGATATTTTCAGTTCCAGTTGGAGCTTTATGAACATCTGCTGTTGCAAAGATGCTAACCCTCAATACCGCCATTTTCTTTATCAGCTCGAGAGCCTATTAGACCATTTGCACTCGGGCTGGCTTCATGTGACTCGAATTTCTTGGATCCAGTCGAGTTAGCCGTTGTGAATGGAGCATTGCCACCCTACGTCAATGGATACCTACACGTACTCTCACCTGCCAGTTACGTCCTCAGAGAAAGTGACAAAAAGCTGAATCACTGGTTTGATGGGCGGCCATTACTCTCCCGCATCGAATTCAAGGCTCATACAAACAAGGTCCTGGTTTCCACTCGATTCTTGCTGCGACGAGGTACTACAAAGCATGCTGCATTAAGGAAGAGGCATGAAATCACGGTATGTATGCTGGTGGTAGTATTGCAGTATCCTTGATGAAGGGGCTTCAGCTTGCATCTCGTTGCGAGAACAACTAAGAGTAAATCTCGCATGATAGGTTGGGCCACAATCACCTACAACTATACCTATAATACCACCTCTTCGTAAACGATCAAGTGAAACTTCCGATCTAGCTGATGAAGGACCAGGCTACCCAAGCAGCTTCATCCACCTCGTAACACTCGACAATGAAGCATGTCAATCAGGATACTCTCTCATGGCCGCTGGACACGCTATGGAGCTTCGATTCGTAGACACTATCACTCTCCAACCAGAATTCACAATGAGTCTCATAAAACAACCAACACTGCCATTCTCTGAGAAATCATCATCGTACTTTGTGACGTGTCCCAAACCAAAGGTGGATGCAACAACAAAGGAGATATTCATGTCGATCCTTGAAATAAGCAGTAAAATTTCGACAATCCAGCATGTAATCAAAGCTCCTACTTCCAGACTGGTCATGAACGACCCATCAGCCTGGACAGTCATAGCATCGATACCAACACAACGAACCACATATCAACATACATTTGCAGTCACGCCAAGCTATATAATACTTATAGAATGTCCGTATATATCACCCAAGATAATAGGTGGGATCACCTCGACACGAAACCTCTTTTCGTCAATGAAATTTAACAATGCCGAACCAACACATTTTCACGTCATCCATCGAGTCAGTGGTAGAGTCAAGAAATATACTGCAACCCCAGTGTTTGCATTAAGTATAGTCAATGCTTATGAATGTACTGATGGTGGCGGCGGCGTGAATGTTGTTATTGATCTTGTTGGGTACAAAGACAGTGCAGTTATCGATAAACTTATGGTGGAAGATCTGAGGAGGAATGGATGTCTGGGAGGATTAGAAAACACTATCAGACGATACCTGTTGGAAGATGTATTACGTGATACCAGTAGTAAGAAGGGAAGAGTAGAGGCGCTTTCTATGGTAGGGTCACTTTCACTCGTTTTGTCTTGAAAGTACTCAACATTCTTCAATCCCTCTAGTTCAAATATCCAGTCGATACAGATTGGCATCACCTCACATCAGGCCGCAACATTGAATTCATAACAATATCGCCGAAATTCCGAAACGACAAAAACTATCGCTTCGTATGGGGTCTAAGCTGCCTAACCCCAAACACACCCTACTACGACACTGTATCCAAAATCGACATCTCCACAGGCGTCTACACCTCCGAATGGAGGAGAGCAGATACCTTTGTCTCCTTCCCTGTATTCATCCCCAACCCATCTGGCCGAGAAGAAGATGATGGATGTATAGTGTTTCTGGCACTAGATACTCGTGAAAAGAGAACAAGCATTGTAGTATTGGATGCCAAAGAGATGGGTGAAGTTGCTGTTATCAAGCTGCCTGGGAAGGAAGTCATTCCGTACGCGTTTAATGCTATTTGGCAAGAGGGGAGCGAACGTGGTGGATGGAAGGGTGATGTGGTTGTGAGTAGTAGTGTGGTGGATGAGGATGAGGAATATGGTCATTATGATGATTCCGAGAGCTTTGAGCATTGATGTAAATGTAAGTAAAACCAATATAAATTGTGTATATTCATTCGTTCAAATGGAACAAAATCTAGCTAGCACTTCTAAGTTGCACTACTTCTTTGCTGTCTATGTCATCCACGCTTGCTACTCCCGCTTCTGAGAAACACACTGCAAGAGAGCAGAAGAATACGTGCCAACTGCTGCTGCATGCGTCTCATAAGTCACGTAAGTCAAAATGATTACGCCTGTCTGTTTGTTCACAACACGACAAAACAGGCCAGAGCTTTGCGAGACTGCGTCTACAAAATCTGGCTGAATCTGCAATCATTACGCTCGACGTTACCACGGGTCATCGCCTTCGCTCCCGATACATCAACGGTACGCCTGCTGTTCCTGAATCTTTGTTCTTGGTTTACATCATTCCCGAGAAGTTTTGGAGTATGTCAAATGATTCATCTTATAATTTACTTGTATTTATACCGACACATGTATAGAATCAGCTACATTAGGAAGGTTGTTCATTTTGGACATCTACATCAAACATGCAGGCTCTTCCTGAACAAGACGAAGACGACTTTGGACTTGCCAGACTAGAGAACGATATGGAATTCGTCAAACAACGAGATGGAATCAGGATAAAGGTAGATTTGAAAAAGTCTTAACTCAGCATCACGTTATCGAGCAATGTTGTCTTGCATATCGTTATCGTACATTCTAGGATCTATACGATAACGGATACCAGACCTGCGTCAGAACTCAACGCATGTATTAAACTTGTTAGGCTGACATCGCCATGTACCCCTTCTCGGACATTCGAGTCACTGTGAATGGTTGGAAGACCCAAAATCATACCGCAAAGGACTCTTCTTTGAAGGTAATGGAGATTTCATTTGACTCGCACAAGATGCCAGAGGTGCAGAATGCTATGACTGCTTCCTCAAAGTCGAGTGCCAAACCTCTACAAGAAATCGAAAACAAGCCTTCACGATATACAATAGTCGTGGAACCAAAGAATGAAGATGATGATGACGGTATAACATGGTTATCATCTCCACCAAAAGGATTGGACCACGTTTTACGAGAAATGACAAAGTTTGCAATCAACGAGCCATTTATAAAGTCAAGTACCGCCGTAGGAATGAATTGTGTTGCCTCTATTGTGGCCATTGAATCCCTTCTTGATGCATGTGTCTTGACAGTGGAAACGGTCAAGGCACTGGATTTGACTGAAGACGGTCTTTGGATTGTATTGCTATCCGACAAGGATGAAGTAATTCCACGAGTGTACTGCAATTCAGTGACTGGTGATCTCGTCTCTGTCATACTAGACAATATTGATGTAATCCCATTTAGTCGATGATTCCTCACGAGGGAAAATAGACAATGTTGCAAATATATACAGCATTTATTCTTTCTTTTCAATCTCAAATTTCAAACAATGTTCTTTCTATCTTCTCGCTCTCCTATCTCCATCTCGATCAAACCTCAGCGACTCAACCCACTCTTAGCAGAATACTCTCCCCGCTTCGTTGCAGCATTCGTCTTATAACTCAGCCCCTTGAACCCCAACTCGTTCAATACACCACGTATACGACCCTTTTCAACTTCATCATTCTCGTCATCACTATAAACACATATGACATTACTACCCTTGAATGGACCACGAATACTCGTAGCCACTTTCGACAAAAGACCTAGTCGACCTTTACGTGTAGCATCTAGCATCTCGTACGATCTTCCAAGCATCATCGATCTCGGCAACAGATCTGAATATCATCCATTTGCCACCCGAGTTTGGATCACCTCGATGGATGCGACGTCGATCTACAGTGCGCGAGTATGCCCAAATTCCAGGGTGTGTTTGTGGTTTTTGATGGGGTTCGATTGTGGTCGACCTCATTGAATAAAGGGTAGAGTGAGAGGAGTAAGATACAATAATACAGGGTAGAGTACGACACAGAGAAGAATCAAGCGATAGCCCGCTGGTAAATGGATTTCTTTTTTCTTTATCTCATGATTATGTTGCGTATCTTCCTGATTCATAATTTCCACCATGTTGATTGGCCCATTCGTCGTCATTGCCATGGCTTTTCGATTCCATGCTTCGTCGTCTTCATCGGTCTCGTCTTCCTCATCGTCATCATTATGATTGCTGGTACGGTAATCGTTGTTATTGCTATCATTGCGGTTATTAATGCTGGCAATTCCATGCAGAAGATGACTCTATGTCGTTCATCTTCTTCTTGTTGGTATTAACGAGCCAACTCGGCATCTCGTTGAGCCATATCCTTGTTATCTGCAGTATCTTCAGCCTCCTGTTCAGCAAGATCTATGTTGGATTGGTAGAGATTCATCACGATCTAGGTTTGGATTGGTTGAGACTCAAAGCGTATAAGCGATCCCGTTCCTCTAGATCTTGTTGAGCACATAGTTCTTCAGCGTCGATGTCTAGTTGTATTCGTTTGGCTATAACGCGGTCGTCTTCGGTTCGAGTGCGTTTGAGGGATGGTCGTTGTTGATGTTTATGGTTGTGTGATGAGGGTGCAAGGAAGAGGAGGGAGACGATGAGATTCCAGCAATATTTCTAGATGAAGAAATGTGTTTAGAGTCCTAATCTAGTAAAGCGTGAAAAGTCAATGACAATGTACGTAACGAGCAAAACAAGTCGCTATTGTTTGAGGCCAACGGAGAATGGTAGGGTAACAGAGATACAGCATCCTGCACTCATTTGACAGTTATTTCTGACCTCCTTGCTCAGCACAGATCCCCAACAAGCTATAATTCACGTGTCAAGCAGCTGAACGTAGGAACCAGTTTGAGCAATTGAGCGATGAAAGCTGCAAAAGAAGGCACCTTCGACGCGTTTCAGGCCTTGAAATACTCTCATACGCCGCATAACAACGAAGAACTATACAAGATCTGCACGTGAACCTTAAGAACTAACTATCGCCAGACGAAGCAAAGTTGCTTATCTTTTTTTGCTGAGTACATTCAATGATCCAACAATCCACAGACAAGTTACGTTTATGGCCATGGACAGAGGAACAAGGAGTCACGAGTCACTGCTATCTGTACTAGAACGTGACGATGCATCTAACACTATTGCATTGACTCCTGGCGATGAGGACAATGATACCCTGTTGATGGATCAAGTCGACACCAAACTACCAACTCATCGTAAAACTGGACTATTCCTACTATCACTATGTGTCGTCGCTTTTGTAGTCCAATCGGTATGTTGGAATGCATGTGACATCGCATTCAATCAAATTCATTGGAGAGCTGGGACTTCATGTTGTTTTTGTGTCATTCAAACAACACATCCCTAACACTCTATCTATAGGAAGCAGTCCAATTCCTATCAACATCCTTCGGATCGCCATACTTTGTGCTATACTTTGCGCATGGATTTTACTCAATCCTGCTGCCAATCCAATATGCGTATTGTTACATGAGCTATGGAGACTCAATACACGATTACAAGGCTAGAATACATTCTCTGGCACTTGGTTTGCCATGGCTGAAACATTATGGTGGTGGTAAAGGACATGGGTCATCAGTAGTGATTTCAAGGAGTATATTAAATTTGGCTGTTACGCTGACGCTGTTGTTTACTGTTGGATCTTATTCGTGGTGAGCTTCTGATCAGTTAATGTGCAAGTGGGTTGTTAGAGGGGGATAGAAGTGTGCTTTGGGTGTTTATTTGCGATCCTGTCAGTCTTGTTTTTGCAGCGCCATATCTAAAATTCTTTCTTTTCCATTCTTCACAGGTATCTGGCAGTCTCGAGGATATCACTGGGAGACCTTACGGCCATATACAACACATCGTGTTTCTGGGCATATGCATTATCAGTCATTCTAGGGCGAGAATCCCTTCACACGATAAAACTGGCTTCTGTAGGGCTCGCCATTGCAGGTGTCATCGTAATAACAAGATGGAACTCTGAAACTAATAATAGTACCAACGACAATACCATAAACGACGATACGTCACAACAGCATGGAATGGGATACATCTACGCAATCTCATCCTCCATATTCGCAGGCATATACGATGTAGTATACGCAACACTAGCAGTCCCCGAGAAGAAACCAAGCATGCTGCTATCCGTGTACATAACAGGTCTGCTCGGCATCGTAACGCTCATACTAGGCCTAATACCGTTTCCAATACTGCATTATACGCGATTCGAGAGATTCGAACTGCCATCTATACATTCTGCATCTGCCATGCTGGTCATATCTGTGCTGGGAGTGCTGTACAATGCATCGTTTATGTTGAGTTTGGCTATTACGGGGCCTGTGGTTGCTAGTCTTGGGATATTGTTGACTATACCGTCGACTACCATTGTTGACGCTGTGTTTAATGGCAAGGCGGTTGGGGTGGGGACTTTGGTTGGATCTTTGATGATATTGGTGTCATATGTGCTGATTCATCGGGAAGACTGTGGTGGTAGTAATAAGAATAGTAAGAGCGATGGGAATGTGAGAATGAGGAGTAGTGGGAATACCAGTAGGAATAGTGTTGAGGTGATTGATGATGATGAACGGTGATAGATTGCCGTTTTTTTTCGTTATTACTTGCTATAGAGTATTTTAATATTAGAACTTGCTTCAGCTTCCATACAGTTTGTAAGTAGAATGAATGATTAGTTTATTAAGCATTAAAAAGATTAGAGAATCACATTATTGTTTCAAAGCTTTTCAAAGAGAGACCCAGTATAAATTACCACACCCTTCATGTTTTCTAGTGACCATATCGTGGCTGCTGCTGCGACATCGGCCGACCTGATTGACTAGCACCCTGAGACACCACTGAAGTATTGTTGATGCTTGATACACTGGTTCTCTTGCCCTTTTTACTACTGATACTATTCATAGATTGACGTCGTTTGGAGAAGAAGAAGACCCTTCTCTTTTCCTCTACTGCATCCTCATGCGATGAGTTTGACGATACCAGTATCGGTTGTGGAAGAATCGACTGTTGTTGAGGTGGTTGTTGGGCGTAAATATCTCCGTTTGGAACCGCGAAATAGTGTCGTGGTGGGAGGCCATTCATTGTCGGCTGCTGCATCTGTTGTTGTGGTTGGTCTTTTATAGATCTATCGTATTGCTGTCGAGAATTCGTCACCGAGTTGCTGGATTGACGCTGATGATCAGTACTACTTCCAGCATTAGAATGCGAATGGCTCGAGGTGCGTCTCTTCCATTCCCGTGCAACAAGGGCTAGTTGTGAGTTTTGGTTTTAGCTCAATGTGTGATGCTGATGCATTGACTTTCAACATCGAAAACAAAGAGGTCCGTGCGAGAGGATACCTCTTAGATCGGATTCCCGGACTACTTGTCTGGCTAGTGCTGGATCCTGTTGTAAGTTGTCACTACAATTAGTCTCCCATCTTTGCAGAAAACCCAAACGTTTACGACTACTTGCCAAATCCAGTGCACTGTACAAGAATGCAGAGTCCGTGTCTGCCAAGTGCGAGTTGTGGATCTTGATGACGGCAGCCTCGAATGCAGTTGGTCCTCGTTGCATCGTTTGTAGGCTGGGTGTGTTGTGATTAGAGGATTACAAGGTTGGGGCGGCGCAGTGGCATATGCTAGATAACGGATCCATATGAATGGTGCAGAACTTATACAAGCCCACTCAGATCTCAAGCGAACGCTTATGACAAATGGCTGCGTACGCTTGAAAACTCAACGGGTGAAGGTCATGAATGCGACTTACAAGCTTTACAGGATGTAACAGCTAACCGCAAGTAGAAGAATGATTGATTATGGATATAAGGAATAGATTTGTTGGACGATCAAGCCATGTGGATGACTGAATCTGTTACGTTCCGTTGGCTACCGACGTTTAAAGCAACGTTTTGGTGTTTAAGCGTCCTGATCTAGCTAGATCTCGTAAGGAACACGTCTCCAAACGCGTGAATTATGAACTTACTCTAGGCTTTCTTGTTGTGAGTCTTGCTTGTTGTAGGTTTTGCGATGTCGCAATTTCAGCGTTTCAAATACGAGGCAGTGTAAACCAGATCGACCATCTCTTCTCATACCAAGCTACCAAAGCAAGAACCTCACTACATAGGAAGCTACCTTCTATTATTCATATCATGGCAAGTTACCAGTACCGAGTGAATTCTTCATAAAGACGCCAAATCATTGTTTGATTTGGTTTCTGGTTGTTGTCGTCGAGCCGCTCTTTTCAACTATATGCAAATCACACTTGAAAATGTATCCATTATGTATCCATTAACCGCTTTTATCATTATTTTCACCATAGGGTATTCGACTAGGCGATACTGCCCCTACATTTGATGCTCACACTACAAAGGGCAACTTTGACTTCCATACCTGGAAAGCTGTACGTACACGATCACTCATTATGATCGACATTCATGCTTTGGTCTAGTGTGTTTGGGATCATGTCGAATGTGTTGGAAGTGGAGCAAGACATGACAATCTGGCTTGATTACCTATTCCCCCCTTTTCTCCTGCGTCGCTTTTCGTGTCCTTGTGAATTTATTGAATTCTTACTCAGCTTCGATCATTGTAGGGATCTTGGGCCATTCTCTTCTCGTAAGAATCAAAACAATTACACTCACATCTTCCATGACATCTTCCAATCTACACTACAACCAGTATCTGAAACATCGCATTTCTCTTTCTGATCAACTTAGACACCCAGCTGACTTCACACCTGTATGTACCACTGAACTGGGTGCTGTAGCGCGATTGAGTGCTGAATGGGAAAAGCGTGGTGTCAAAGTCATTGGTATGTTGATTCGTATTCTCATTGTTCTGCTTTGTTTTCAATTTGGATTCGACATGATTGGATTAAGGTTATTATGCACTGCAAACGATCACGACCAAATGTGTTGTCATGGTGTGATATTCTTACGACGTTTTGTTATTCTCAACCATTTTTGATATTTTATTAGGACTCTCCACCAACGAATTGGGTGATCACGAAAAATGGATTGCTGATATCGACAGCACCCAATCTTGCAGTGTTCAATTCCCAATCATTGCTGACAAGGACCGCAAAATTGCCGTGCTTTATGATATGTTGGATCATCAGGTAAACTATCGTTGATTTTCGAAAAAGAATCGATAGCGATAGTGCTCAGCATATGTATCAACATTGATTTATTTCTAGGATATTACAAACGTTGATGCCAAGGGAATTCCATTCACAGTCCGCTCGGTATTCATCATCGATCCAAAGAATATCGTTCGACTGATCTTGACGTATCCTGCTTCATGTAAGCATCGAGATAAAGACATTCCATGTTTTGGGTATTTTACTGATGTCTGCATTTGTTTTTTGCATCATGAACAGGTGGACGAAACTTCAACGAAATCCTTCGTACTGTTGACGCGTTGCAGCTCTCTGACAAGCAACGTGTCACTACCCCTGCAGGTAAAAATCTTCGAACTATGCTCGGCGTATAGCTTTTAGGGTTTTTGTCAAAACACTCAAATGATATGTCTGCCTGCTCATCTAACATTGACTTTACCTGCTAAATCTAGGTTGGAATGGCCCACAAGATGAAGTGATCATTCACCCATCAGTGACAAATGCAGAAGCGGAGAAAGTGAGTTGATTGACACTACGTGAGTAACCTTTCTTGCTCACTTGCATCCCACTCCTTTCCTCTAGCTCTTTCCTGGATATCGCACAGTCACTCCCTATCTCCGAGTCACAAAACTGCCTGACACCAAATGATTTACTCCAGTCCATTGGTAAATTGTTGGTTGTCAAAGTCGGTTGAAGGAGTGCAAAAACATAAAAAGCATCTAAAACGAATCTGGAAATGAAGAGTTTGCAGAATAAATTTATAGTCTCAAGTGTCTTCTGAAACGTGCCGGATTCATGGTTCCTTGTGATTATGCGATTCACCAACTTCGACATCAAACCTGGAGTAGTAGATCGCACGAGAGATTCAGATATGTAGGAATGCTGGGCTACAATGTCTTTGCAATTATGATAGCTTCCACAGAGGCATTCAAGTTTTTTCGTCAAATCCTGAGGATGCACATTAACAAAAAGCAGCAGTCTCAACCACCAACATCTAGGAGACATTGAAAGAATTTTACTATGAGCTTGGAAGTCCTGACTCGGAGTCTCCCTCAACGTGGCGTGTGCGTGACTCCCCACATGTTAAACCTTTGTGACACTCATCGTCACCTTAATTGTCATACATCACCACTCCTCTATTCGCAACCAAACATACTTGACAACCACCTTCAAGACAATCAGAACTATACATTCTCACATGGCTGCTGCTGCCGGTAAGTTGCATCTATCTCTTTCTGAACTACATCAAGTTTGCGGCACACCTCGTTTTCTTTCAAAATTAAAAACTCTAATACCGTGTATTTCTAGGTATTCTCGCTCTCCTGGACGGAACTGAAGCTGAAGCTCTGGCTTTACTGGTAACCTCACTACTCATATCAACTTCCACTGCATTTTCTCAACCTCCGCCAATCCCCCAAAAACATAGCCTAATCTGAAAGCTGCAGTTCCCGGAACCACCACCGTATCTCTCCTCAAGAAGGAATCCGGACAATCGAAATCCACACACGCCATCCTCCACGGTGTTGACACTCTGGCCAACTTGCAAGCTGTACAAGCTAAATTGAAAGATATCTACGCCCCATGCAAACCGTGGGCATTGCAACCTATGGCTCTTGCTGCTGCTGCAGCTAATCCTACTGCTCCTATCGCCCCTGGCGATTTGACGTGGTTGAAGATTGCTGTCTCGAAGGAGGCACTGGTGCCACAGGCCGATCCTTTGGTTGCTGTGTATGTATAGTCGGTTTGGTGTTGTTTCCGATGTTGCTGACGTGCAACTTTACCCTTTTTTAGAAGGAAGGCCATGGCAGCAGGTAGACATCAAACATAGAGGTCTCGTTGACATCCATATTCAATTTTCAACATTTTCGCACAATTACAGAACCTGGATACCACTCCACTATGATCTTTGTTGGACTTGAGGAAACCAAGAGCTACGTTGTCTTGTCTTCAATGGACAATCAAGCCACATTGACCAAGGTTGGTGATGCAACCAAATGCTGAACGAGTACTGAACGTCTAAATTGTATGTTTCTTAGCTCATGGCTGACCCCGACATTGTTGCCGGCGACAAGGCGATTGAAGCGTCAGCAGCTCAATATGCTACCATTATTGGTCATGTTATTGCCAGAGCATAGGCTGAAACGAAAAGTTTTGTGACTCGTCAAAAATTTTTGTTGCATTTTATCTGCCTTTATGTTTGGAAAGTGAAATAAATACCATTGAAATTGACGAATGATTGGTACTAAATTGTACAAGGGCTGGTTTGATTACATTCCGTCAGTGCTTGGAAAACATTCAATTAGGTATTTCCAACCATTTTCAAACGTGAGAAACAATTAAAGAAATGACGTCTCTCGGACGGTTGGTCGATAAGACCGATCGTATATCGTTGTTGAATCACTGTCGAACGAAACCATACTGACACTTCAAGACTGCCAGGTTTGAACAGCTTCGATGAGTAGAGCTACAAACTCATAAGATTATCCTCATCTCAGGGGCCGCACCATTTAGGAAATGATTCATCCTGGGATATGAATTTTCCTGGTGTAGCCGAAATGTTTTGGGGCCAACTGTTCCCAATCCTCCTTTCACACTCCAGACTCATTTATTTCGATCAAAACGTCGAAACTGAACGCCACTCTATATCAATAAATCAACGGAAAGCAAGACATAAGAATGTCTGCATTTGCCGCATGTAAGTGTATCTTACAACCAATGTTGGCCTTTCAGCAATTTCGTCTACCCTGAGTCTCCAAAAACAGTCTAAATCGGCCTTTTGTGTCTTGAGATATCATGGTCCTTCATTGATGGGACTGAAGCAGAAGCAAAAGCTCTATTGGTAATACTTGACACAACTCCGATCTTTTTATAGCATAGCCTCTTAGAGTATCTTAAACATCAGCTTACTCCTCCGACCTTCTACTAGCCCACACTCAAGGCCAAGGTGCCCGGAACAACCCACATCGCCCTCCTCAAAAAGGAATCTGGACAATCCCAGTCCTCCCACGTCATCATTCATGGCATTGACACCGCTGCCAACCTTCAAGGTGTGCAATCCAAGATCAAAGATATCTATGCTCCTTGCAAGCCTTGGGCAGTCCCAACCAATGACTTTGGGTGCATCGGCATTCAATCCTACCAATGCTCCTACTCCGGACGACTTGGTTTGGATGAAGATTGTTGTTGCAGAGGAGGTTATGGCTGCTCGTGCTGATCCTTTGGCTAGTGTGTGAGTGTTGTCTGTGGGGCTTCCTGATACGTGGTGGTGTTTTGCTAACACGTCATCGTTCATAGCAAACGTGTCATGACTGAAAGAGTGCCATCGTGTGAACTTGAGATTGAAATGATCGTCTTGGATGAGCTTGTTAGCGCAATGGCTTGCAATTGCGACTCGTTACGGTCATGGTTCTTTGTGTGTACCCAGTGGATTGACACGTCTACTTGGAGCTGTCTCGGGCAAGTTCCTTCAAGCAGGAATTTTACAACTGGGATACCATGTAATAATGCATTCTTTCTGATATTAGGCCCGTGCGGTTAAGATCATTATCGTTGCTTCACGGTATACTTTCAGATTGACGCACAGAGTGACAGGAGTGTTGTCGTTTGAGTCAGCACGATGGTGAGTACACGAGAAAAAGTTCCACATTACGTAGTTTGGCACCTGAAATGCTTGTACCTCAGTCAACTATCTCGTGAAAACAAAATACAGCTTGAGATTTACCAGAATTGAATGTTGTCTCATTGAGACGATTAAGCTTGATTTTCAAATCCGAACACGTTCCAACAAAAAAAAAATAAACTCGAAATCCACGTTCGGCCTGCCGGTTCTCGTCATCGTTTCAGTCTTGCACTTTGGTTGGGCCCAAAGTAGTTTCAGCTTTTGCAAACTCAGGATTGAACGTCAACCAAGTCTTGGAACGATGCTTACCAGTGATTCTAGGCCACCTTCAAGAGCAGAGAATGATGATATTGGTAACGATCTACTAGTTTGCTGGCCCATTCTGGCTCAATGAACCAAACTGTTTTGACCAAAAAGCTTTGTCCTAGATTTCCACTGCCCTGTATGTCTGGATTGGCTAGTCGACCCAGTCAGTTTCGGTAAATTCCAATATACAATTTAATATTTTATTCGCCTCCCTCTGCTTTGGTGCATCATACTGATAAAACAACGCTTCATCAAAATGTAGAATGTCACCATTCCATTTGTCTGGGCTGTCTGGAACAGACATTGAGCTCAGCGTAAGTCCATTACTGCATTTCATTCTATGGAGCAATTTAATGCAAATAATGCACTCCGTATCATGAAGCAAGTCAACTCCACAAACAACGAAAGTTGACAATGCTATGTCTCACTGTGTATAGGTCATGTAAAGGACAGTGCCCGATCTGTCGACACAGAGTGCTTAGCTTTGTTAGGCATCATACGAACGATGAGCTAGTAAACCACGATCTAGCCAAAAAAGTCGCTCGCAGGAAGAAGGAATCTGAACGACAGCAGGCTGCTAAACTTGCTGCTGAAATACGTGAAATGAAATTAGAACGTCAACGGCGGGAGCAATCAGCTGTTGGTGCTGAAGCTACAAAGTCGACAAGATCTAGTGCCAGACAAGTGCGAAAACAACGATCATCAACAACAGCAACAAAAGTCACTTCTAGTGATGCAGCAGGAGACGACGACTCGGATCTCGAAATAAAAAATAAAAGGCTGTTACGATCTCGTAGTAACACCATGACATCAACAACAATAACAAACCCACAAACAAGAAGCCGCAGCAAAAGTCGACCATCATCAGCTTCAACGTCAATGTCAATGTCAACATCCCATCATTCAACAGCAACCGAATCATCATCCATACGAACGAGATCTCGTGATATACATAATAGTTATTACACGTTACCTGATCTCTTGACAACAGTATCACCAAGTGTATCACCACCCTCATCAACATCCGAAGAAAACAAACAACCACCGATACGGGCATTACGCACTAGGTCTCGACCACCACCGCAACAGCCATCATTGCTATCTAGTAGTAGGGATAACAGTAGACGCACAACACGAAATAAAGGGATATCGTACAGTGAGGTGAATTGCAGTGATGACGAAGATGACCAGCAGAATGATGAATTGCCTGCTGCTGCTACGTATACAAGTCGTGGACTCTCTGTAGTGAAACGGAAGGCGTCAAGTAATTTGATGTCTCTGCCCTCAAAGCTGTCGTCGTCTGAAGATGCTGATTTGGAGGATTCGGAGGGGAGTGATGCTGGTGGCCGTGGCCGTGGGATGTCAAAGAGGGTTACGAGGAGTAGTATTGCTGCTCGTCGTTCTCGATGAGGAGAGAGAATATGGTGTTTTGTGTCAGAAGGAGGAAAAATAATGAGGTTTTGTGAAAAAGAGAGAGAAAGAACCCGGAATGTTGTAGCATATAAAGAAAAAGAACCTGATTTCGATTTTGCGTTTTTGAAAATTGTATAGTAGAAATGCACAAAAGAGCGATATTACACGCAAATAAAACTAAGTTGAGATACCCACACTACATCTTAAAACAGTTACGTCGCAAGGCTCTGATAAGGCGCCGCACGACATCATCGCTTCAAACACTCGCGAAAACAGCCATCCGAAAACAAGATCACACCAGCACACAATCAGCGATACAGAGTTTCGAATCACTAGTTTATATCTCAAAGTTTTAAACCGCAATACATAAAGGAGAAAAGCAGGGCAAGATTTTTTGTTTTAGCAATGCATGTAATGAATTGGGTGCTTTCTGCAACATCAAAAAAAGTTTTAAAAAAAAGTTCTCTCGAGATGGGTTATATATATCGGATTATGGGTTGTCGTAGTGGTGATGGCGGTGGTGGTCTACGTTCCCCGAGTTACTTTGGTTCTCTACAAGATCAATATATATGGGTGGTCTCGAGGTTTTCCTGTTCTACACTTTTTTTTACGGTTTTTGGTTGCTATTGTTGATGTTGGGACCCTCCCAATTCTCTAAAAAAGGTTCTCGGTGATTTAATGATACTATTGCTAAAAAAATATATAACTCTTCCACAATTCTTCTGTTCTGTATGGCGATAATATATCCTTTTGGGTTTTGGTTGGTGGTTGTGTAAAAGGCGAGGGGGTTGGCGAGTGTTTTGGGAGAGATTTTATAATACGTTGGGAGACTTCGACAAACTACATGGTTTTGGCCATATCCTTCTTCTTCTTGTTTCGTGGAGGTGTGACTGGCCTGCCAGAGTTCATACCGCCGTATGCATACTTTTGCTTCTTTTCTGCTGGCTTTAGGATCTAGAAGGTCGTAGTATGTTAGTCGAGAGATCAATTCAGATTCTGTAATACGATTAGTTGAGTTGCTTTTTCTTGTGATTTGCATCTTGATATCACAATGTGCAAATGCAACCAATATCACGATTGCATTGTTATGCTTCCAATACGTATCGGATAACACAGATGCTTCTCTTGCTCCCACCCTCCCGCCACGTCAACAGATTCAGCAGTAAGCAAAAACTTCTGATCCTCAAGCATATAGCGTAAGCAACTAAACTTACCTGGAAGGAGCACATAAGCGTCTCATCTACACTCATCATGGCACCTGCATTATCAAACTCTCCACAATAATTGGGAGCTGAGAAGAGCGTCACCAACTGTCGTTTAGCAAAGAACTCATATCCATCTTCAACCACTTGATGAGCTCGACAAATCAAATCCAAGTCATGTTTTTGCAAGAATCTTGTCACGACATCTGGACCAAAGGTGAATGATACACCTCGGTCATTTTCAGACCATCCGGCGATATCCTTGTCTGGATCAGACCACAATAAATCACACAAGAGACCTGTGGTACATAGAAAATAGTATTTTAGAATGGTGGTAAAGGCGGTGTTATGAATTTGTCGATGGGGTTCATAGACGATGTGAGGAGGATGTGAGGGAAGATATCTGACAAAAAGTCGTTCGTCTTCCTCCTGAAATCCTTTTTTGCCAGTATCATTCATCCAAAAGAAATCAGAGGTCTGTATCTCTCGTCTTCTCTCCTCGTACAATCACTCTGCTATGGCACGCACTCTCATGGATATAAAGCACACTCTCCACCAATGTTCCAGTAAAATCTCTCCCTCCATCAGACTCTCCATAATCACACATTTCAATCATAAAATCACATTTAACACAACACGATTAGGTCATCATTATGCATACCTGTATCTGGTACATCTGTCGGTCGCATGACTCGTCTGATTTGCTCCATACTCTGTAGATCGGGTGATAAACCACCATGCATTGTAAAGATTTTTTCATCAATGATGGCAGCGATAGGTAGACAATTGAAGCAATCTGTAAAGGTTTTCCATAGTTTAATGTTGTACCGCCGTTTACCTAATGTGATCCCGATAAGAGTGTTAGTGATTCCACGTCCATGGTCAAAAGATTGCGACTTTTTGTCTATCACTATCGCATATCATACATTCGTCATAGAATCCATAGATTCGATTGATACTAGCACATTCGTGGTTTCCTCGTAAAACAAAAAAGTTTTCGGGATATTTGATCTTGTATGCCAGTAACAGACAAATTGTTTCCAGTGATTGTTTCCCTCGGTCAACGTAATCTCCCAAAAACAAATAGTTTGCTTCGGGAGGGAAGCCTCCATATTCAAAGAGTCGTAGCAGATCGTAATATTGTCCATGGATGTCCCCTGATAGTGTAAAGAGAGAAGAGTATATCGTGAGCACGAGTTGTATACTTTATAAGGTGCAACCACTAAATATACCACAAATCTTTATTGGGGCCTCCAGTTCGAGTAGGATTGGTTGGTTTATGAATATTTCACGTGATTTTGTACATAGATATCGGATTTCATGTTCAGCGAGTTGTACTTGTTTACCAGGCCTACTACCTCTCACTATTTGAAGTTATATAGTTGGTGAGTAACAAGATTTGGTCGAGCATGATGATTATAACGTAGACTGGATTGTAATGATGTTAGTATGTCCCTCTGTCTCGTCGTCAGGCAAGATGTTTCACGTTGTGTGATTATTTCTAATAAGTTGTCATGGGACACCATTATCTGTACCATCATGGCACGTAGCACGATATCAGATGAGATATGCCAAATGTAGGCAGAGCATGATGATGAAATAAATGTGATGGGAGAGAATCCCCGTTAACATCAAGCAAGACCCATAGGGCCGTGTGCCTTTGTCGTATAAAATTCCTCCGTTTTTTGTGTTTTTTTGCTTCGACGAGATTAGAGGCGAAGGGGCGAGCTTCAAATAAAGCACGACAGAATAAAGTGCCATTATAGTGGATATAGAATAAAGTGACTTGTTCAGCTGGGTTGATTTCAGTTGAGCAACTGCCATCTCCCTGAACCCGCCGCTCGTCTCCACCACACAAAGAGAAATCAAGCAGGAACTAGAAGCAGCTATAGAATCTAGGATGGGATGAGCACGTAATATTACCTTCTAATAATCTCTCAATGACAGAGTCGACGTCCACTTCCTGGTTGTCTGCCATCGTAACCTTGTCTGTATGTGCCTGTGTGTGAATGTGTGAGAGAAAGAATGAGGTAAGATGACAAAAACAAGGCCATTCTACAACATGGTTTATATACGGCAACTATATAATGGTGGCGCCATTTTATGTCTAGCATCCATTCCAACTTCTTCCTCCTTGTACAGATTCATAATGACACGTCCACGGTGAGGTGTGACTTTTTCTGCAAACATTATCGGAGACAGACGGGAGTGAAGAGACAGTAGATGAATGTGTAGGGCAAGCAGAATTCATTCTCATATTCGCATATAATTTTTCTGACTCATTTCATACGCAAGGTTTAGAATGGACTACCAAGATCTGAAGAGATGGATACAAACAAAATTTCGCGCTGCCTACATATGATACCTTGCTTCCAAAGGTGCGTTCCTTGTTCTCGAACATTACAAGTGAAGTTTCCATGGCTCTCTTCCCAGCGACCTGTCAAAAGTTGCATTTCGTGGTTCTCCTGAAAAAAGCTTAATGCTTCGCACCAACAAACTCGACCAAAACACATCAAGAGAACTGTTATTGAAGCTATAACATACATTCACCAAACATGGTCAACATGATGACTGCATGCTTTACGCTGTTTCTCGCTGCATTCTCCTTATACAGTGAGTATGCGTGTCAGTGAACGATCGCTCATGCCGAATGCCAATCTTGGATTGCTGAAAGTCAACCGAGTCAACCTTAACACATTCTCATACCCATAGATCATGTTATGGCTCAATCTACAGTCACCGTCATGGTCACTCATACTGAAACTATAGTCAGCACTATCATTGTATTCCAGACTCCTCATCCAGACCTTGCAACGCCTCCACAACCAGCTCTGGCAACTCCTCCACCACCACTAGCTGAATCAGGAGCACCACCACCCGCTCCTGCAGCCAATCCATCATCTGGTGTCGCCATATCTCCTATTGCTGCTACCAACAACGAACCCACATTCACCACCAATGTAGTTCCCATCGCGTCTACTCCAATCGTAGTTGCCCCTATTGTATTCACTCCAATCGCAAGTGTCCCCATAGTTGCTTCTCCCATAGTAGCAACTCCCGTCGTATCTGTAATCGAAACACGCGGCGGTGTATTATTATCAACTTCGATTGTAATACCTCAACCGACACCTTCTGAGCAAGTCGCTCAATCAAGTTTCATTGAAACTACTCCTGCTACAGTATCGACTCCTCTTATAGTATCAGCTCCTGCTACAGGTACCGTAGCTCAACCAACACCTTCTGAGCAAGTCACTCAGCCAGGTGTCGTTGTATCGATTCCAGTTATAGTATCAACTCCTGCTACAGACATCGGTGAAGCTCCTACTCCACTTGAATCTGTCGTAGCAACTCCATCAATCAATAGTCAAGCTCGTGCCAGTCTTATACCTGACGCCGACAACAACGTAACTGGCACTGGCAACGCTATAGCCTATCGTAATGGTACTGGAAATGCTACTAGTCACTCCAACGGTACTGGCAATAGTGGCAGCTCTGTAATCATTGACTTTGGAAACAACAACTCTACAGGTGGTAGTGGATCAGAAGCTACTGCAGCTCCAGGAACATCTGCATCAAGTGGACTTGCTGACTACATGAGTATTGGTATGGATCTTGCTACAGGAATCAGTATGTTCGCTTGGATGGTGTTGTGAATATGTAGGTAATGTGAATTTGGTTGTGATTGTACAAAGACACAGAAAATAATATTAAATTGATAAAATACACGTATGTAAACGGATAAAACACGTCTATTCCGTGTATCTTTGCCTTTGAATTGAAATCGATGAGTACTGAGAACTTACTGACTGGCTGGTCCACAGAAACTCAAGCGACGGAAAGGAGGAAGCTTGAAGAAGGAGGATTCGATAGGGAAATATAGTAAATAATAACAAGATTCTGACTTGGATCAACATGTGTCCGGCTCCTGCTTTCGGGGGCTCGTCTTTTGACGAAACGGATCATTTGGACTCACCATTGAACGCAAAGGTTATTACTATTCCACCTCCTGTAAAATCAGCTTCAAGACCAAGACAACATCCACTATATCTTACACGTATGTAGTGTTTTGACTTGTATGGTTATATCTACAACAACCACGCTAACGTGAAAACTAACCGGACATGTAGAAACTCATGAAATCATGCGAACAAAAGGTGACTCCCTTAATTGTTTCAATTACTTCGTTCAATTCATTTTCTAACTTTTAAATCCTTTATTTATTGTAGTGGTCGCAACGATCGGGCCTGGTACCTAGAAAAGCTTTATCTTCACGCAAACTTTATCGTTTCGTTTACACCTCTTTCATTACTGTAGCATCATCATCAAAGAAAATGCTCGCAGAAATGATTGAAGCCGGCATGAATGTAGCCAGACTCAATCTTTCTCATTGTACACACGAGTTTGCTCAAGAAGCAATCACAAACATTCGTTCCATCCTGACAGAGACAAACTCTACTGCTGAAGTCGGGATATGGGTTGATATTAATGGGCCCAAAGTCAGGTAAATGATCCAAGACTGAGTCTTTTAGTGTGTTGGGTCATGCGGTTGCTTTGCGAAGATCCGAATAAACAAGTCGCTCCCATTTTCTTACGCTCCTGTGTCTAACATTCGAATCGCATATTCGTTTTAGAACTGGAAGTCTGAAGGATGAAAAGCCAGTTTTCTTAAAAGGAGGAGACAGCTTCTTCTTTATTAACGATGTCAATGAAGTTGGTGACAACACGAAGGTATGGTGGTTGTTAAAGAGCAAGGAGTTAAACAAAGACAGAAGGATTACAAAATATTGATACCACATTTTATTAGATATCAACAACGTATACCAAAGAATTGGTTAGCGTTGGTGATAAAATGTACATTGACGATGGTCTACTCTCATTCACAGTTGTGGAACGTCTACCAAATTCTATTCGTACCATTGTTGACAACTCTGGTAACGTTCTTTGAATGGGATTATTGCAATTGTATACGTATGTGGGTAAAGTGACTCACATACAAATCTTCCTTGGAAACATTTTTAGGCTGGTTGGGTGAAAACAAGGGAATAAACTTTCCCAGTTATATTATTGAAGAGCTACCAGCAGTCAGTCCCAAAGACGAAGAAGACATCTTGTTTGCCATCAAGCTTGGTGTGGACTTCTTGTCTGTATCTTGTATTCGGAATGTGTCTGATGTTGAAGAAGTCAGGTATGGGTCTTCAAAGCTTTCCAAAGGGCATTTTGCGTCCACGTCTGACATTTTTGGCGCTGTCGGCATCAACTGTTTGAACAAATGCGACCATCAAACCCAAGATATTCACAGTCAACGCAATATAGAATCCTGTTGGGTAATTCCAAAGTCAAATTACTATCCAAAATTGAAAATCAACGTGGAATGGAAAATTACGAAGCCATCTTACGATTATCTGATGGGATTGTCATTGATCGAGGATATTTGGGTGCTGAAGTAGACGTAGAAATAGTTACTACTGCTCAAAAGCGAATGGTGACGTTGGTAAGCTGAAGCCATTAAAATCCTTGTTGTCTGTTTTTTGTTACCTCGAAAGCGTTACCTAAATTCCCAACATTTTAACCTGTTAGGCAAACACCGCAGGAAAACCAATTCTAGTAGCGAATCAAATGCTAGAATCTATGAGATCTCATCCTCGACCCTCCAGAGCTGAGGCTGCTGATGTAGCTAATGCTGTCATGGATGGTGTTGATGGGTTGGTATTATCAGCTGAAACAGCTGTTGGTCTTTACGTAGTGGAAACCATCAACATTATGCGTAGAATCTGTTTGAATGCTGAAAGGTCTACCAACTGTAAGTTGCCTTGCTGTTGAGTGGAGAGTTGGGAAGGAGCAGCAAAAGAGAAACCTCCGTATTGTCAAAACATAAAAGCCAGTTTCTAACATCTCTCTATCCTTTCATAATGTAGATTTGGAATTCCAAGCACGTCTAATACGCAACATACCCAAACCAATCCCAGTATCAGAATCCATTGCTTCATCAGCTGTGACGTGTGCTCGTCAAGTCAATGCAGCAGTACTTGTATCCGTCACTGAATTGGGAGGTACTGCTCGGTTGACTGCCAAATATCGTCCGTTGGTGCCTGTAATTGGAGCAGTATTGCATTCGCAACAGCAAACTGCACGACAATTGGCATTGAACTTTGGAATTATACCATATACGCATACTGGTGACGAGGTAAGAGAAAAAATTGAAATGAAACTATTCTACCTTCACAGCTTTGAATTCACTCTTCGTCCTTTCTCTAGGATTCAATTGTGACCGAAACATTACGTGAGTTGTCGCCTTGGTTGCTGCCACTTGAGGATGGAGCTTTGCACCTCTGTAGCGATCGAAACAATCAAGTAACCCTTTTTCATTGTAGGTTTCGCAACAGAATTGGGAATATGTAAAGCTGGAGATGTTGCCATCGTGACTGCTGGTCAACAGATCGGTTTTATGGAAGGAACGACAACTAGAATGCAAATATTGTCAATTCCTTCCTTTGAGTAGAAACCTATTGAAAGGAGAGAAAGAGAGGGTCGGACCTCTGAGTGTGGTGCTGGTGACAAAATAGAAGTTTGGATGGATGGGGAGCTTACAGAAAGCACTTTTATATATCATAAGAAATGGTTTTCTGAGAATATATGTCTAGCATTACAATATCAAGCCTGTTTTCGCGGTATTGGATTTCCTGAAAAAGTAGTGTCTTCTCGTGCAATTCTCGTGTATCGTCGTGTCTTCTCGTGGTTTGGTTCCTAAATCAAAAATGGTCAGCACTTGAAAAAGCAACTAGAAGAAACCGACAACCCGTGAGATCTACTGAGGTATAGATCGTCGCCCTTAGGATAGTTTCCTGAAGTGCTGACGCTAGTGCACAATTGCGTCGTAAACCGCAAAAGTAGGTGAATTTGTCGAAAAGTGCCTGTGAGCACACCAGCGTCAACACTTCAGGAAATTATCCTCAATCACTAATTGCTTCGAACGTACAGGACCTCATGGAGCTCCCAGAACTTATCGAGCATCTGGTTACTCGGGGATCAGCCACATTAGAAGACGATACGCTCCAAGTAAGCCCAACATCAACACCAAAAATTACAAATTCAGATCCCACCATAACTCGTAAACTCAAACACATAGGCCATCAAAGCTGAATGCAAGCAATCGGACAACCATGTACAAATGGCATATACTTGTATCATGGACCAGCTCAAGAAGCCGCACGCTCAAGTATACAAAATGGTGGTTTTACAGTGACTTGATCAAACTCAACCAACCACGTTTTCTCGTAGATACGATATTCATGCGTTCAGCTGGCCGATGTCTTGTTTACAAGATCTCACGAGTTTAGGATATGCATGCTGGACAATATGCCAACATTCTTACCACTAGTACTTGGAATAAACGATACTAAACTGCCACCGCCCAAGGAATGGGGTGTCAAGTTGAGGCAGCTGGCTACTAGTACGCTCAAGCAATGGCATGATAAGTTTGGTGCTGGGTATAAGCAGGTAAACGGGTTTTGGTGGGGTCTGGTTTGTCATAGGCAAATTAACGTTTTGTTTTCTTAGCTTCGATTGGCGTTTACATACCTGCAAGAGAATGCAGGAGTGTCTTTCGCACACGAGGATATCTATTTCGGGCCAACGCGGGAACGAGCTTCGAGAGATGTAAGGCGATGGTTTTGTATGCATTACTCGTGCTGTGCAAGCTCAGACCTGTTTATTTGTAGACAAGATCGCAAGAAGTGAGATTGCAAAAGTATAATGCTGCCGTCGCAGAGATGGAGAAACAACGTCCCGACGTGTTGGAAAACCTCAAAGTCATGGTAATGAACTGTATCTCTAAGTAGACATACTAGCAGCCTGCTTCATGTTTCTTGTCTCGTCTCTAGAACGGCTGCTTTGAAATTCTAGTACCGCGACTAGACGCTCAAACACCACCAGCACCTCCTCCGCAATCACAAGATGCAAACCTCTCGCATCAGAATATGGCACAAGAATATGGCCTTGGATCTAATAGTTATGAATTGGTCATTCAAGTGCCTAAAACGATAAACGTAACAGAGACCAAGGAGAATGCGGTAGTGTTTCAAACTCTGAGAGAGGCATATAAGGAGTTGTTGAGTCATCGGCAACAGATCTTGTTGTGGTTGGATATTATTACCAAGTTTGGAGTTGAGGTATCAAACCTATTGCATGAAGCCCAAGAGCTGTTAGACTTTGTTTTGTTGTCCTTTATATCGAAATCGAATCCTTTCTTTAGGACCCTACTCGCCGAAATACCATCCTGCGCAAAGCAGTAGATTTGAAAGCAGCCATCGACGATGTGAAATTACAGGCATTGGCATTGTCTGTGCCACTAGAGCTGCCGCACGAAACTGGAGACGATGAGGACTATGAAGAGGAGGAGGAAGACGATGATGATGACGAATTCGTAGAAGTGAAAGCTTCATCATCATCTAACAAACCCAAGGTCGTTGCTCTACCAAAACCTGCTCAGAAAACAGGAACAAGACCTGACGAAATCCTTCCTGTTTACGGAGCTAGTGTTGTCACTCCTGCGCTAGGAAACGCTCCTATATTCGCTTCTACAAAGATTAATCCAGATGTGAAGGGGAAGAAGCGAGATGCTTCGGATGATGCTGATCCCAGGCATGTTTCGTCTCTTGGTTACCTTTTTGGTTGTTGAGATAGTATGAAAATACTCATAACCAGTCAATTAGTTCTGTGAAAAGGACCAAGATCTCCAGACTACCTATAACTATCGTTCCACCTGGAACAATTGTAGATACTGAATCAAGTATGTCTTGAGTTGTGACTTTTGGATGAACTACCGCCAATAAACCTAAGGCCAACCTGCGTTTTTAGATCTGAGGACAATAGCTCCAGTCGTTGAATATGCAGATGACTTGTTCTATTGGGATAAGCAGGAAGTGGCATTCAACAAGACTGGAATAGGTAAACATTGCTTCTTTAGACGTTCTGAATTCAAACGTCCTGTTGTTTAATTGTTTGTCGTCGTTATTAGATTTCGCTCATAGATTCTATGGCTCTGTGCAAGAAGAGCACATGCTATCAGAAGATACCTTGGCTGATTTGAAGAAGCGAGGTGATTTATTACGCTACACATCCTGCTTTTTGCAGTGATGATACTCACAGCTTTTCCATTCCCATTCAGTGGTTTTTGTCACCCACGAACAAGAAGAAATAACACCATGTAGAGCTCGTCTCCCAAACGGCAAACTGTGTCCACGGCGAGACATTGAAATATGTCCCTTCCATGGTCGCAAAGTCGCTCGCGACGATGCTGGTATAGCACTCGATACCAAAGACCAACAACGAGATGCAGAACGTGAGCTCGAACGTCAACGACGTAAAGCTACTGCCCTGCTAGGATCGTCGTCGGCTGCATCAGGCGCAAATGGGACTGAATCTGATATCTTGTGGCAGCAGATTGCATATGATGTACGAGTTAATCTCGGGCTTGATGGTGTTGGAAGGCCTATTAATGGCACAAGAGTCGCAAAGAAGGAGGAAGGACGAGGTGGTGCGAGAGGAGGGCAGTCAAATAAGAATGGGTCTGAATTGATTGATCTTAAAAAGAAGAAGGAGACACCCAAACAGCGGATTGTCAAGAAGCTTGAAGCTGCTAAAGCTAGTGTGGAGGCTGATTTGGAGTATGAAGCTTCTATACGCTCCAAAGACAGGAACGCTTTTCGGGCTGGGAACTAGTCCAAATATTGTTTGCATATGTACACAAGTTTATTTCTCTTTGTATATCACTACCATGAAGCTTAAATTATAATTTGCAAACTTGAAAAAGCTATTAATATGCTTTCACATGTTATGCACCGACTTTTGTCCTAAACTGCGGCAAGATTTGACGACTCTTGTCACCATTCTGATGAAATATACAAGGCCTACCACCCGTATGAGTATTCACCACAAGCCCCTTTGTATTTACATACGTGAAGTCAAAATCCGACATGGACTCTTGAAACAAGCTGTTTGTCAACTCGTTATCCACGTCCAGTCTAATATACTTTTGAAACCCCTCCGGTTGCACGCCCTCTCTAAAATCCCATTTATCATACATACTCCTCCTATTCAATCCCTCCGACACAAAACCAACATCGTCCAAATACGCGTGTATAAAACTCTTTTGATCATCCGTACAATCACCTCGATGCACCCGCTCTGCCAAATCAGCGACAGCCCATGCATACCCTATATACGTACCGGCATTCAAGTACTTGTATGGTGATGTGTTACTGGTTGATTTGACTTCAAAGTCCCGTGAGAGCCAGACTTCTGGCCATAGGCCTCGTTCTGCCATGAAAAGAATTGGTGTAGATGTGTTTATGAATCGGGATGTTATGTGGGCGGATGAGCAGTGTGGGGTTGGGAGAAGGACTACGTCGTCTGCGTCAGAGACTATTAGGAGCTTGTTGTGGGGTTGGAGTCTGGCGTATGAGCCTGCGAGTCGTATTCGGACTCCAAAGCCTCGCCATCTTGTATTTATGCCGAATACGCGGAATCTCATTCCTAAATGAGCGGTGAGAGAGTGTGAGGATGCAGAAGTTCACTATCCAAATGGGAGGCAGAAGTGCACTATCCAAGGTAAACTGTACTTCTTTGCGCCGTTCTGCTGAAAGATCAACACATCCACAGAATCCTTCGAACGCAAACTATTTCATGACAATGCGATACGTACCAGCATCATGAACGTGATCTGCTAGCTGGTTAAGCGATTCACTACATACGGTTGAATAAGTCAACCATTCTGGTTTACACGCTTCTGAATCTCGACCATTAGGTCCAGCAGCCTGACAATCTATACCATACGTAAATGGTAATGACTACAATAGTAGAGAGCGATTGTAAGCGAGCTAGCCTGAATCCACCCGTCCATACTTCAAAGAAACATGCCTGACCCAACCCAACAAACTCCATAGCCTCCATATCCACAATAGAGTCCACCACTCTCTGACTACATTCCACACGTTCAGCCGCCCTCCTAAATCCAAACATGCCTCCTAACGGTGGAGCCAGACACGAGAAATAGTATTCTGGGACAATCCTCATTTTAATGTTGGTGACAATGGAGGAATCCACGAATAAGAAGGTCATTATGAGGAAAGTTATGCTAAATGCGAGTATTAATGTGAAGAGCTGAGCTCGTTTTGAGCTGCAATACATCCTGAATCTGTACGGGATGATGAGTCGGAGTGAAACTTTGGGAGACCGCATTGGTTTACGGACCAGTGATGAGGGTTTGGCGGTCGATTAAATTAATCTGATATCATGAATGGAGTGCGTAGTCGACTCACTTTTCTCTCCTATACGTGACTTGTAGCGATCTGGATGGTTTATAAAGTTCGAAGCAGCCTTTGGTTGACGTGGGATTTACTTGCGCAAGTGCTTTGACCACGATGCTAACTGATTCAAATATTCTTTCTTCATTGAGATCTACTTGGAACGAACGCAAAACTTTTTCTAAACCTCGCGAGCAGCTACAGTCGAATTGCCAATACAAACGAACAACCACACTCTCCCCGTTTCATGGTTCATCAAACGCTGAAGCTTGTAAGGTGGGTGGTCCAGATCTATATTTCTAAATACAGGAAGCGGGATATAATGGAGCCAAGTGCAATTTAGCCAATTACAAGATGTGCTTTCAACCTCACCGCTGATTTCATTATCTTCAGTTTCACCATAGATTTCAGATTTCAGTCTTAGTACTATACTCAAATACAAGCTGATCAGCTGATATCCAACAAAGCTGCAACACTCCAATTGCTATACCAACCTCAAAAGAGAAATCTCAAGTTGCACGTTATCCTTCAAACAATACGCTTGTTATTGTCGTCTCGACACCATTCTGTATATTCACACGATTACAAAATGCCGGGCTGTTCAAGGATATAACTCGAAGCAGACTTCATCAACGACGACTCAATTTGAAGAAACGCATCGTCAACATTTATTTGAATATGTTGAACTCGATGTAGACAGAAAGGACGTCCTCGAAGGACATCATCTCCACTATCAACTTTGATACAAGAGCCAGTTGGTAAAGAATGAATCTCTGTGGTGATGGTGGTGAATACATTGTCCGAGTAGCATCTGCCAAGTCTACATTTTCGTTTGGACGCAATCTCAAACGATTTTCTTTTGGATTTGCCGTAGTTATTCTTGTAATTCTGGATGAAACGGAATCCAAAGCTCTCGCTTTAATGCTAAACCTGTTGACACATTTCTCTACTCTTTTCAAATTTCGAATCAAACAACAAGAAGTCAAGTCACAAATTTATCAATTCTGCTCAAAATTTCAAAATAATAACCTCATGCGAAGAAAGCTGTAACTAGAGTAACCGGAATATTCTTCCTCAAGAAAGAATCTGGGAGGACCTACTCTACTAGTGCTATAATCCATTGTGTTGATGCTGTTGACAACTTGCACGCTGCGAAACGTCAGTTGAAGGATATCTAAGCCTCATGTAAGCCTTTGTTGATTCAAACCTTTGGTCGTGGTGTCTGTGCGATCAACGAGGTATCCTCCTCAACTCCAGAGGACTTGGTATGGTTGAAGATTGTTGCTTCGGACAAGGATTGGACTCCGCTAAATACAGAAGATCTGCTGATGGCCGTGTAAATATGAACCATTTCGAGCAGTTGATTCTCACAGTGGTCTTAAAAGCCTTGGTTAAATGACAAACAAGTCATGGCATCTCGTAAACGCTTGGATTGCAAGCCATGCACTCCCTGATACCTTACATGTCTGTTCGAGATCAAGGAATCGTTCTTATCAGATCTATCATGGCACAGGGCAGTCCAAAAGCTTCTTTCTTTTGGCGACATTTGACAATGGAACAACCTTCACCAAGGTTGTCGTTCAAATAGACACTTGTCAAAACGAAAGCACTCATACTAATCTTCAACAAAATAGGTCATGCAAACTCCTGAAATTGCCATCGGATTGAAGAAGATGGAATCTGCGTCCGCTCAATGGGGAACTCTGGTTGGTCACATTATTGCAAAGTCTTGAAGCTGACAACAACCGCACTCCTTGACGACAACAAAGCATGATTCACGCCCCTTTGTACTGTATGTACGTTAACATTGTCTCGAATTCAATTGATTCAGTGCCAAGGGCTACTTTGAGAGTATTTGTGAAAATATCACGGAAATATTTCAAACGTCTGAAACAATCACGGGACAGCCTGCAACAAACTTTCAGTATCCCACCGACTTCCAGATAATGTAAGCTGTCAGCTGGATGCTTCGACGAGAGCGACCGCATGTACTTTCAATGGGTGAATTGCACAGTTGAATGAAAGCACGCTTCACCAGTAAATACTACCAGAGTTGAAAGGTTTTCAAAAGAGTACGGCCTCATATGCGGATTGACTTTGCAATTCAAATAGCCTCTCTCGGTGCACACCTTTTCGGAAATGATTCTTCCTCCAAGGAAACTGTTTCTTCCTTGGTGTGGACGAACTCCGTTGCGGCCACCACTCCCCCCTCTGCCCTCACTTTTCAAACTGAAAACTCGATCAAAACATCGAAGCGAAGGGCCATCCTCTATCACAAAACGAACAAAAAACCAAAATTGTCTGCGTTTGGCGCAAGTAAGCCTAACTTCTTCAGATTTGCAAGCTATTCAATTTCGGGACGGTCGAGTTTGGTTTCGATTTATCCTGAATCTCCAAAATTTTATTAAATTGATCGTACTGTCTTTTGCTATCATGGCCCTTCTCGACGGAACTGAAGCTGAAGCAAAAGCTCTTTCCTTCAAACACTTTTGACCTTTTACGCAACCTTGATTCTTCAAGGTAGTCTAACCATCATGTTACTCCTGTTACCTTCTACTAGCCCACTGTCAAGGCCTCCGTCCCTGGAACAATACATCTCATTCTTGAAAAAGGAATCTGGACAATCAAAGTCCTCCCATGTCATGACCCAGGGTATTGACACTGCTGCCAACATGCAAGCGATACAATCCAAGATCAAGGATATCTACGCTCCATGCAACCCTTGGGCAGTCCATCCAATGACGTTGGGTGCTTTTACATTCAATCCCACCAACGCTCCTCCTCCAGACGACTTGGATTGGTTGAAGATTGTCGTCACGAAGGAGGCTATGACTGCTCGTGCAGATCTGTTGGATAGTGTGTAAGTTGACGGTTTGAATTGAGGTTTGTGGTTGGTAGTTGTTCGTTTCTAGCAAACGTGTCATTGCTGCGGGTAATGAATTTGAATCTTTAGAATATCATTCGATGACTTTGTCCTATTCGGAAGGTGTCCTCTGACTTGTATCTCAAGTATAGAGCCTGGATACGACTCTTGCAAGATCTTCACCAGCATTGAAGAGACAAAGAGAGGCCTTTGTCATCATTGGCACTATGGACAATGAGAAGAACCTAACCAAGGTATGTAAAACAATGCAATTTGATTAAACTACATCTTAACTGATGTTGTATGTTCAACTTGTAGGTTATGGCAGACCTGAACTTGCTGCTGGTGACAAGGCAATAGAAGCCATGCCAGCTCAATTCGGCGCTATAGTCGGTCGTGTTGTTGCAAGGGCTTAGACACAGCTCTACGTCAAACACCCTCTTCGTTGCGTTCAATCTTCTAACGATGTGTGTTTTTCGTCTGTTGTGTGAAATAAAGAAAGTTGAATTCCGATTCATCATACAAGGCCTGAAAGCGATTTCGAAATTATATCCTTTCTTCAAAATGGTTTGGGCCTTGTGCCTTGAGTGAAAAATTTTGTGTGGTATTTGTCCAAACGTTGCGAGTTTGTCGGATGAGGTTCGTGCAAGAACAACGAAAACGATTCATTCGTATTCGACAAAGTGTTTCAGGAGAGAGAATTTTCATATGTCCTTTGAATCTTTCCATACCCTCCAAACTGTTTTGGATTGTCGTATTGCGTCTGTGAAACTTTGAAAAGCACCCGTCCAAGTTCAATATGTCTCCTTCAGACCAAACCGGCTGGGCCAAGGAATGCTCATGTGTGCCAGAATTCCAGTCTGATTACAAACCTGTTGGTCGAGAAATCCTACTTGGAAAGGATTTAAAGTGCTACGTTGTCGGAGATGAGAATGCTAAACGAACCATCATATTCTGGTACGTTGCTCTCAATCTTGATCTGTAATTTCTTGCATGTACATATTGGTAGCCCGATGCTGCCAAAGCTTTGATGTACCAGCTCTTGGATCTAGCAAACATTCCAAAGCATCCCCACGACATTTATCATTCGGCATTGCAGTTTAAAACAAACCCAAGAACTTGAACTTCATTTGGAATCGACTCCATAGTTACGATGTAATTGGATACCAGCCACGCAACACTCGCCAAACTGTCGACCAACTGGCACTTCGTGGTGGTTTTAAGGTCATCATGCCTGACTTCTTCAGAGGAGCTAGATTCGTACCTGGTAAACGATTCGGAATTAGATATACACAATTATTGCTTGGACTAGGTTCTGATGTAAGGATCTCTGGCATATAGGTGGACCAGTCCCGGTCTATCAGTGGATTCAAGACACATGCCCATGGCCAGTAGTAGAGAAGGATCTCCCATTGGTTCATGAGTACTTGAAGAAGACTGCAGAGTCTATTTGCTGGGTCGGCACATGTTATGGTAGGCATGGTCGTGAACGCTGCCCTGTGATGTGTGAGTTGTTTAAATTAAACCAACCACTTGTCAACTGCAACTTGTAGGAGGCATGATAGGAAGCATCGTAATGGGCCGAGTCTCATACCTAACCGCCGGAGTCTTCATCCACCCTGGCACAATGTCCATGAAAGACCCTAAATACCATCGTGGTCCAGTCTACTTGATGCCTTCAAGAGACGAGCCTGATCTCGTAAGTCCGAAACATCACTTTTTAAATTCACGCTTTTTAACTGGGAATCACGTTTTGCTAGCTTCCATATTACGCAGAGTTACAAAAGCGACCATTTGGAGCGATATCGAAGCACACGAGATTTGAGAATATGCCACATGGCTGGTGCTCGGCTCGTGGAGCTGGACTGGGACAGGCCGAGAAGGATGTGCCTAAGGAACAGGCTAGAGCCGTTCAGATGATTATTGAATGGTTGAATGGAATTTTGGGTAAGACGGTTTGATCAAAGTGGTTTATAGTGATGCAGTAATTCCTTAACATGTTCTTCCTTGTTGTAGCTGACCAGAATCTGGTTGCAAAGATCTAGATTTTGCGATTGTCTTAGCTGGGAAAGTAGTTTAAAGTCTGTCGACTGTCAAAAAAATCTCGATCTACGAATCTCGCGTCGTGAAAGTATTCGGAACTATTTTAAAATCGTTTTGCGCGTGTAGATCCATGTTAGAACTTGGCATTCATCCTGTTCGTTCACAGTGACTGAAAGCACATCCAAACTTTCAAACTTTCACCCAACACAACAGGCACACACACACAATGCCAAACGAGCCCAAACCATCCAAAATAACCAAATCCCGACAGACTCGCCTCGTACCTCCAACTCACGAACCTGTAATCTACCGGCCGCTGCCCAAACTAACGAGCGATGGCAAACAAGTGTCGATGTTCTCCTTTCTGGTGCCTAGAGACAAACCCGCACATAAACCAGTGCCTAAATTAGTTCGTAATGATACCAAGAAGGGTGATGCATCGCGAAGACATGCACCGTCACAGGAGGAAATCAGAAGGAATGTTGGATCGTCATCAACGTATAGTGCTGCGCCGAGGTTGAAGAGGGGTGGGAAGGATAAGGAGAGGAAGGTGTCTTCGTCTGGATCTGCTGCATCTATCGCAACAGAGTCGAGATCTGTGTCGCCAGGAAAGGTATGCTTGTTTTCTGTGGTGGTGATTTGACCAACCGATGCTCACCCTTTTCTGATAGTATAAACCTAAAGGGCTGGTGTCGTCGCCGGTTAGAGGAAGCAGGTCAGTGGATCGTGCCTCTGAGAACGGTGCAGGACTACTAGATCTAAAGACGGAAGGACACGAGACAGGACCAATGCAACAAGTAGATCATGAGGGAGACTCGATAGGTCACAGAGTAGCTGATATAGATAACAAGCCTGTATCGATACGGGATGCTGATATAGAGCGAGATGCTGGACGTCTTCACAACCGAATGCCTCAACGTAGTAATACGTTGCAAGCTGTAGAACTAGAGGAAGAGGAGGAACAAGATGATGGACTGACGGACGAAGAGAGGCAACGGCTATACGCACCAATCGTGTTTACACCGATTGAAGAAATTCGAAAGACATTCCCAAAAGTACAGAAATTCGATTTGGTAAAGTTTTACACAGACTACTTTTATTATCTGAATGGCCTAAAAGCATAATTATACAGAAACTTTTAATATTGTCGTGGTTTTCCCTCAATTGACATAATATAATCTCATAGTTTGCTGCCCTACTACGAATGCTGTTAGTGACATAGTTCCAAGAGGTTTTTAGACACATACTTACCGCAAGGACAGCCGAGAAGAAGTTGACCATGAGTTGAACCGCATCAGCAGTTCGACGTGCATTCTTCGGGTTTGAATGGTCCGCCCTTGCGCTGCACCATCCATGATGCATGTCGTCGAATCGCACTAGGTGAGGGATCAAAAGGATGAATAACAGAGAAGTATAATCAACCTTTATAGAAATAATTGTTACCGTGTTGGGACTTGTTTCCCCAAGGCTTTGTTTCCAATACCTTGTAAACGGGAGTCATGTCTGCTTCCCCGTTTGAAGGTAGCAACAAGACAGGACATGTGCTCTTTTCAGCATCTTCTTCCTTTAGAGATTATAGAGTGAGAATCAAGTCTAGTTGAAGACTAGTATGCATACATTACCGTAATCCAAGCAGGATGAGTAGCACATGTACCCTTCATCCAGGAAAGTGTCGATGCATGCATGGCCATCTTCCCACCCCAACAGAACCCAACAAATCCATAAGACTCGGTTCCCTCTGAGTCCAAGATTGGTTTGAGAGTAGTCAGGTCCCTTGACACGATATCCCATGTTCCGACCTTTGAGACCCATGCCATGAGTTGGGATCTGTCGTTTTCCGGCTTCCAGCCGTCGCCACGATAGAAATCTAAGGTGTATCGCAAGGGTAAGCAATGGTATTGCTTGACGTCTAGTTGAGCAGGGCAAACCTGGCATAACACAGCGGAAACCCTTCGAGGCCAGAGTGTCGACAGTTTGCTTTGTATTGTCATTCATTCCCATGACGTCGTAGGCACTAGAGAGCATGGGAGTTAGTAATTTAAAGTAAAAGGGGATCTTGACTTTGTAATATCTGTCAAGCTGAATGTTGGTGTTGATGTTGGCACTCACACGAAGATGACCTTTTTTGAGGATCCGACATCGTAATAGATCAAATCCGAGTTTGGAACTTGCTTAGTACTTCCGACCGGCTTGTAATCAGTTTCTATAAAGGATGTGGCATGAGCGATTCGTGTTCAAAGTTCAACAGGTGCAACCTGAAAAGACATACGGAAAGGAGGAAGAGTTCCGCACACGTCAGCAATTGTTCCCATCATCATTGAGTTGTTGCCTTCAAATAGCTTGGAAGGAATCGAGAGTTGAGGCGAAACGTGTAAAGTAAGCGTTGAAGCGAAACGTGTGAAGTAAGCTCGTGTGTGACGCAAATATTTCGCACTCAGCAATCCCAGATTAATTGGAACAAGCAACTGAAGGGAGCTCCTATTACTGATTCTCAGGTACACCCATGCTTTAATGTTGTTTCTCTTGCTCCTTCAGTTAAGATGTGGAAGAAATTGTCCACCTTCTCGAGGTTCGATGTACTGACCCGCCCTTGCTTACAACCTAAATAGGAAACTACTACAATGTCTGCCCGTAAGTCTCGTATCTAGACATGCTGAAAATACTTATGGTCGCTATATGCTCTGTTTGCTCGTATTTGGTCAACGGACGACGTCATCAACCCCATTGTCGTTGGCATCCTACCTCTACGCCGATCTGTTGTTTTTACTCGTTCATCCTGTCAGCATATCTCCTGTGATATGTTCTTATTAATTCAAGCGATTCAACTCGAATCCAGTGGTCACTCCAACAACCTCACACATCCATAATCATCTAGAATTCTTGACCTGTTGTGCCTCTGTGCCACCAATGTCCTCTACCTACGAGCCAGTCGGAACTGTATCCGCTATCGACGGCATGCAATGCTACAGCGTCGGTCACTCGAGCAGGGTATGTGGTTGGTTTCTTCTGCCGTCTTTCACTGTTTGTTTGTCAAACTCCAATTTCGACAGGTCATCATCGCTGCTTATGACATCTTTGGATTCAACATCAAGCAAACTCGACAAGCTTTGGACACCCTTGCCAACCAGGGTTTCAAGGTTATCATGCCTGACGTAAGCCGACAAACAGTTTGCTCCTCGAACGAGCGATCTAAGACAATTTACTCTAGTTCTTTAGAGGTGCAACCTGGGACCATGGAGCCGATTTCAGCCAATTGATGCCCTGGATCCAGAAACACGGTTCATGGGATGTCTGTAAAGGTGACCGACACATTTCATGTTGTCAAGAACTATCATTCACTATAAACCCCTTGTATAGCTGATGTAAAGATGATTATCGACCATGTATTGGCTTCTGACCCATCAGCCAAAATCGGAATGCTTGGATTCTGCTGTAAGCCAGTTGAAAAGCCACACACAGTAGTTCAGCCTGTTGATCCGTAATCGTGGTATTTTAGGGGGTGGTTGGATTGGAATGCAAGCTGCTAGTGACCCTACTTACAAGCTTTCTTCATGGGCATCAGGTAGACAATTGAAAGTTTCATGATGAGTTTCGCACATTAATTATCATGTTTTTTCTCTCTTGTAGTCCACCCATCCTTGTTGACTGCAGAGGGAGTAGCAAAAACCTTATCCCCTGCTTGTCTCTTGCCTTCAAAAGATGAACCAGACTATGGTGCAATCTACGAAGCTCTCAGCAAGAAGCCATTTGCTGCCGCCAACCGATTCCAACGATTCGAAGATTGTGTACACGGATGGTGTGGTAAGTAACCTGTTTTAATTCTTTCTTGTATTATTCAATAATTGACACCAATTTATAACTAGCTGCCCGTGCTGATTACTCCGACGCCTTAAACGCAGCACGTACCTCAGAAGCTTTGGGCATTTTCGCTGGATTCTTTGCCAGCACTTTGGCTCCTGGTGCCAAATTGTAAAACAAAAGGCAAATTGGCAAATTGAGTATGTGAGTTTTTGCTTCTCATTCTAGTACCTCAATAAAGGCGTGATGGCAAGAAATTATACCCCATTGTGTGTGTTATACGATATCTCAATTTCCTTTACTCTGTCTTGATTCGATCGGGAGAATCCGTGCCAGTTCTTTGAACTAGGTCTGTTTCTATCATGGATTGATGTGCCGCTGTGATTCGCTCAGCTTTCGAACAAAATGCCAGCATCAGCAATTGAGGTGATTGGCAGGGCGGCCCATTGTTGAAGAGCTCTCGTTAAACAAGGTCTAGGTCGAACGGACCAACCTCTTCTATGATGTTTGTTCCGAACAATCTTGTACCAATCTTTTGGAAATGTCAACAAGATACAATGCAGAGATCTCACAATAGCTTTTGCTTCTTGAATGCTTCGGCATTCGTTGTGACAACATGCAACGAGGTGGCCTATCTAATTAGATTGATTTTGCTCTAAATGACGGAAATCTTGAAGCAATGTTGACTCTGGGTTATGGAATGTCGCATTCAAATGTCGTTCGAGTCAACAAAAGGTAGTAGTCTCAATGTTGTGCCTCCAAAACCGTTGGGAGGATCTTGAACTATAAAAGGGAGAAGTTGAAGTGAGATGGATGTTTTGATGTTTTATTTTCGACGAGTCAAAATATGTTTCAAGCGGTTCATTTGGACTCTTTGTCGCGAAATGTAGCCAAGTAATCAATAGAACGAATATTTATATCCCACTTCAAGCCTTCATGGCGTCTTCGTAGTTTGAACAAGAAAGCCAAAAGCAAGTTCAGCTCGCAAGCTTCAGAGCGTATAACGAGAAGACTATGAGTGAGAATTACAGTAAAGACATTACCTTTGCAGATGCTGGCGACCGAGTCAATTTCACTGAAATCCCGGTACGTTTTGTCAAAGTCCAAGTTTGATCCAAAACACGTTTTTTGCCACTGACAAAATTGAGCAATTACATAGGTTTTGGATTACTCTCTGGCAAATGGGACTCCAGTGCAACAACAAGAATTCCTCAAACAATTGAAGTTCATAGTCCACAATGTCGGATTCATGTAAATTGGCACACATTTCGTAAGCACACCCATAACAACGACAATCTCACACTCATGTCCTCTTAGGTATTTAAAAAACCATCCTATACCTACTCCATTGGTGGACAAGGTCAAGAACTACTGCGAAAATGTCTTCAAGTACGATCGATTCTCTTGGCCAAAACCGCCCGCACATGGCACTGACTCACGCCGTGTGTTTTGCTAGCTTGCCCATGGAAAAGAAACTCGAAATTGAGATGGCAAATTCTCCTACATTCTTGGGGTACAATCGATTAGGCTATGAAGTCACCAAGGGCATCCAAGATATGAGGGAACAGTTTGACTTTGCACCTGACATACCAACCCTTTGGAAGGAGAATGCGGGAATGCCTGACTGGCGAAAGCTTCGAGGTCCGGGACAGTGGCCTTCAGAGAATTACGTACCAGGATTCAAGGCCAATGTGTCGGAATATATGGTATGCGAACTTTGACAAGTCAACCGTCGAGCTCTCGCGAGGTCGCTACAGTGCCTTACTATGAACTCACAAATACCCACAACAAACAGAATCGTATGTCAAAACTAAGTCTGGAATTCACTGATCTTGTTGGACAATCTCTCGGATTCGGCAAGGGATTCTTGGACTGGCACTTTGAAGAGGAAGTCCGTGAAGGTGGCAGAATCAAGATGATCCGCTACCCTCCCACCAAGTCGTCAAGTGACGAACAAGGGGTCGGTCCCCACAAAGACGGCTGGTGTACGTATTCAAGAATGAGCCAATTAAGCTTAGTTGCATACAGTTGCTGACAACCTGTCTTCTATAACCAGTAACATTCTTATTACAAGTGAATGATGTCGATGGCCTGGAAGTGCAAAATCACAGTGGTGATTGGATTGCCGTACCGCCAGTGGATGGTACTTTTGTTGTCAACTTTGGTGTTGGGCTGGAGAGGGTGACACATGGCGCTATCATCGGTATGAGTTTCTGTCGGCAAATTGACTTTGATATTGTACCCTAAAACTCACTTTTCGTTTATTTATGTAGCTACGACACATCGCGTTGTCAACAGGGCTGGTGCGAAAAAGGACCGATTTAGTCTACCATTCTTCCAATCGACAGCTCAGACTTCAACATGGGATCCTTTACCTATTGAGAAGCTGCCACAGGAATTGCGAGAAGCAATTTCAAGTCGTCAAGTTGTTTCTGATGCTTCTGCTACTCAGTTCCCTACAAATCTTGTCGGTAAGTTTTGGAGCAGTCGCTCATGTGTGGTCTGATAAAGTTGGATTTAACCATTTTGCTTTAGGTGAAACTATGCTCATGAACCGCATACGTTGCCATCCCGATGTTGGGATGAGACATTACCCCCATCTGCTAGATGGCTTACTGGATCCAGCTCATCCGGCAGTCAAGGAACGAGCCGAAGAATTCAAAGACAAGCTTGATCTGCCACGTGCATCATTATAAACGCCGTTTGAATTACCCCTTTGAAAATATACTGTCTCGCTGCAATCAGATTCTAAGTCAGTGCGTGCGCTTATGAAGTAATTGGCATCAATGGGGTATCTTGACGCGGAATCCTTCCTTGTATCGCGTGTTCGAGTCGTTTCTTTTTCACAATGGTTGTACTCTTTCACTCGTCAAAACATACTACATCAAAAACACGATAGTGATCGCTTCTATACAAGAGTATGGAAACGAGGCACTCTCATAGCTCCTATCAGCGTGCGGTCGACGCACCAACGCAAACTATTCAGCAACATCATCAGCAGCAGATAATGGCTCCCCAAGGGTCAGTTCAACAACAACAAGCGGATGATGATGTCTTGTTGAAACCAATCACTCCATTCGATCGGGAATCTTACCATGCACGCTTGTCAGAAGATAATGCCAGTATGGTCCACTATTTCAACAGTAAGAGCCGTCGTTTTGTTGTATTGCACATCTGATGATTTTGGTGATGGGCTGACGCATGAACATTTGGTAATAAAGAACAATTCGACAGATGGCCATGGGTATTAGTGATGAGCTTGAAGCAGCTGGAGACATCCCATTCGACACTCTCAACACTTACCACATGATAACTGACACGTCACCAATCATAACCCATAGATCTCATCCAAGAACTGTATGGCCTTGGTGATTCAGTGCGAGAATATCTCTCGTCATATGTCATTGCAAAGCAAAACGAGCTTATTGAGCAAGTCGAGCAAGGAATATTGGAACTACAAGAAGCTGAACAAGCTCAAGGTAAGCAAATTGATGGCATTGACATACCCTTGTGAGGTACTGATAATATCATTTCTTGATCATTAGAAAGGGTACGCCAGTCCATGGTCACTTTTCTGGCTACTGTCAGCAAAGCATTTGAAACGTTGACTCAACTGGAAGGGGATTCATAATAGACCTAGACCGTGGCGGGTGTATAAAGTAGTGTAAAGTAGATTTGTCAAAAAGGATTATGGAACATCCTTTGAATAAAAAATAAGTTGAGTTAATGATTTAATCGTTTTGACATCCTGTCTGTCAAAGGCGCAACATCATCAACATATTTGAGGTATTCAAAATATATTAATAAGAGTATCGACTTTCCCAAAAGTCTTAAAAGAAATCTGCTTAACGAATACTAGAATGCATTCATGAACCGCCACACAGATCGGCCTGCAACGGGGTAAAGAATATTAGAACATGGACTTCATCTCATCAAACAAAAACCATAGCTTACTGGCACTAGTTAGGACATTTCCACTGATGTCTGTTCCCGCCCATCCCAGATATATCTACAGAAAAGGTTTCAATATATGCGCTCACATGGATTGACTAAAAGCACAATGTACCTGTATATTACAATTATTGGTGTTGGAAATCGAGCATGTCTCTCCACAGATACCATCTACACAAGCACATGACGATGCTGTGCATGAGGTGGCTTCCCAATCGATACCCGAAACTGCTCCTTTTTGTGATGTTGCAAAAAAAGTCAACGTTTGTTTCGTATCGTATAAAAACTGTCTCGTACCTCCAGTAAGAGACACTATGGCCGTCCTATTTCTGACATAGGCCAAAGCAGCTGCAGAACTACCAGTGACTGCCGTGGACTGAAACAAGAGTTTTCCAGATGTTGAGAAAAGGGTTCCATTCCATAAGACGTCGAATGACACTTTGGCTACAATTCCCGAGTTGGATAGGTTGGTCATGGTGAGCCAGCCTAGCATTTAATATTTTAGAGGTTGTCTTGTATTCAAACACACCAGATCAAAAGCAATCAAGGCACTGCAAAAAAATGAGCATGCAGCCGCCATTATACTCACTCGAGTTGATATATAACGAACTCAATTCATCCACCCGCGGATAGAATGTAGCGCTCATCGTGGTAAGATTGGTTCCAAGGATAGTTTCATACGTGGTTGGAGAGTATGGATATGTCAGTCTCATATATCCAACAGCTGTGGATCCTTTAGCCAGATTTCCAGACGTGCTGGACGAATTGAAGGTAGTTATGAGGGTGGATGGTGCTGAATCACAAGCAAATGAGCTGTTTGTTGAATAGCATGGTGTGGCTGCTAGTATTGGAGATGTGGCCAGAACAAGGAGCGAAATTAATGCGGCGAGTATTCTTGATCCTTGCATCGTGGAGACCGTTTGGAGAGGCTATTATGGCTCTAGATATTAATATTTCGGTGTTATTTATGTCAGTTGTGTATACTGATACTAGTTTTTGGTGGTGAGAAGAATGCGCTGTAAATGGTTGTCAAGGTGAAAGTCGGAACGAAGCACTTCTTGGTGGCAGAGAAAATGGCATACCTTTCAACTTGAAGTATTTAGATGCCACCGAATCTAGTACTATTGTTGAGCGACCGGTTAATGTATTTGTTTGCTGCTGTTTTGTCTCCGTGTAGTGAGGAGAACTTCTTGAAGAACAAGGGCAATCAAGCAGATCTCGTGTTCGCGTTCCGAATTGATCTCAGTAAAAAGTGAAGGTATTATGCAGAAGACATATTGTAATGGCTGTTATGTTCGTCAGGTCACGTCAGAAGCAGTGCTTGAACCGAACTTTGCAATTTGCAACTTCTACAAAAACGCAAATAACAAAACGCAAATCCGACTCTGTCCGTCGCTGCAAATATCTTGTATATTCGGTCTCAACTCAGCAAGAATTCCGTGTGTCCTCTCCAGGTCGCTCTGCACAAACGACTTTCATTGTAACCCGATTGTTTCCATTGATTGATCGAAAGGTGAATTAAGATAGATTGGACACTTCTGCGTTGATTTTATAAGCATCTCCATATATTCACCCTTCAAGACCGATTTCGAGCAATGGCGGGGAACTGTTGTTTCTAATCGCAGCTTACCAACACAATGATCTAAAAACTTGTGCCATCACCAAAGTTATCTGGAAGAGTCGGCAAGTAGTTTGAGATGAAGATTGACCCCGTTATGAGAACACTTTGTACACAGGTGGATCAACGTGTATATACAGGCGAGCAGCAACCTTCGATGAAGAATCGTGTCGACTGCAACGATCACACCGAGATACCATGCTAAAGTGTGTTTCGTGGGTTGAGTTTCGTGATGAGATATCTTTCTCAAGTGCTGCAAGAAGGGTTTGTAGGTAAATGAGCTGCCTTGATATCGAGAGATCTAAATCGGGAATTCTTCCCCAAGTGTCGACACCAATAGACGATGCTACCTCCAGAGTCAAAGAATCTACGGCTAGGGTGTCTTTGAGCTGTTTTGGAGGTATGAATCCTACCCATATCGTTTGTATACCAAAACAAAGACTTGACATGTGCAAACTTGTGGGTGCTCGTTACGAGTTGAAAAAGTCGTGCTTACCACCGCCGATCGGTGCCTTGCAATATGTGTAATAGATATATCAAGTGCTATGCAATAGACACTCACCGCGAGAAAGACCACGAAAGGTCCAATTTGGTCGGGAATGATTTTTGTTACCGAATTTGTCTAATTGTGAGAGGTTCAGAAGTCAGTTTCAAATAGAATGCGAGGGTCGAATTCAAGTTATAGTAGCTACTGACATGTAAGCACATCAAGAGATGGGCAGATGAATGCCTCAGACACTATCCTGCTCCTGACCAGTCGTTTGGACACGTGTGTTCGAAACAAAAGCGAGTAACGTCATAGCAGCCAATATTGCAACTTACTTGATTTTTGCCAAGACACGTACAAAGACCATTAATTCACACTTTCTTTTAATCGAACCACTCTCCATGTTCTAACCGTCGCTTCTCACAAAAACTTCACACAAACCGAACAAGGAGAAAAGGAGACCAGCAAACAACTACAAGGCAGCCAAGAATATTTGCATCGATCTAAGCAGGAACAGGAATCGAGGATGGCGTCTGTATCCAGTCAGAAGCGTAGTAAAATAGGAACAAAGAGTCACCAAGTCCAAGTCCATTCTGGAAAACCATCTGGCCGATCAATATTTACTTACAAGAGATTGTATTTCTTGCTTGCTCTGGTCACTGTAGTCCTGCTATCTGGATGGGCTACTACTTCAGAGACTATTGTTAGTGGGTTGCTGGGACGTGGTGTCAAACCATTAAAACCTGCTCATTTGGTACGTGTATTCGCTAGTCTTTATTGTCTTGTAGGGACTAGTACTGCTTTATCTATCATCCATCATGTCAATTCCATGATGCATCAGGCCTATCAAACTGGGCAACCTCTCGCTATCGTGTCCCTTTTCTCAACGGGAAAATTTTTTCAGAGGCACTTTTTCAAGACAACAAAACACCCAAACACCCAATATCTTAAACCACTTCCACTTACATTCAATTCTATTCTACATTATAGATCCCATCTCTATCTGCAATCGAATTCACTCTAGTAGTCTCGGCCATTGTTGGTTTCATCTACACCACATTCGCTTACAGGTCTTACTATGTATTCGCTTGGAACTGCTTCGTCAAGCCCTTCCTTAAATCAGGTGCTGCTAAATCTAAACTCGACGGTCTCGAAAAACACCAGGAACGTCTAGAAGACTTTTACAAGGACCAGGCTTCCATCTATGATACTACTCGAAGACGCCTATTACGTGGCCGAAGCACAATGTTGAAATTATGTGCTGCTCAACTCCGTCAATACTATCCTTGCTCCTTTGATAACTTTGAGGTCGGATCCACCTATAATAGTAAAGACGGTAGCCATAGTGTAGTCGACCCTTCAGCAATTCCATCACCACCACTACCACCTTCCGTATTATCTAGACCAAACAGTGACGTTAGATTCGCTTGGATTGATATCGGTGGTGGAACTGGTGAGAATATAGAACGTATGAACCTTTTCTTCCCAATCCGTAACTTTGATAAGGTATACTTGGTCGACATCACTCCCTCTCTCTGCGAAGTCGCCAGACAGCGGTTCGCTAGGTTGGGATGGGATAACGTAACCGTCCTGTGTATGGATGCTGAAAAGTTTGAAATTCCTAAAGAAGATCTAATAGACGGCGAACTAGAAATCGCTCTTATTACAATGTCGTACTCTCTCTCCATGATGGAATCATGCTATGGACTGGTAGATAGGTTGTCGACTATATTATCTCCCACGGGTATTATCGGTATCGCTGATTTCTATGTCTCGTCAAAGAGATCAGCCGATCCTACACGTCAGCTCTCTTGGTTTATGAGGTGGTTTTGGTCCGTCTGGTTTGACTTGGACAACATCTATCTCCACCCATCTCGTCGTGAATATCTAGAATATAAGTTCGCCACCATAAAGAGTCTAAACGCCAAAAACCCATTCGTCAAACCATTCGTCAAAATTCCATACTACGTATGGGTTGGTGCATCCAAGAGTGGATCATCACAACTACCTCCATTAAACATAGGCAGCAGTGCTACCGCAACCACCGCACACGACTCTAGTGCTACCACCACTCCAACCACCACCGATTCCAACAACCACGAAGACGAAGATGTGGAATCCATGTCATCATCAGTCGCTTCGCTCCATACCGTAGTATCAACTGTAGATCACAAGACCTTGTCTCGAGACCATGTCCACGGTCAGGGATTGCGATGGAGACAAAAGTTTGAACTCAGTCTCATCCCACGATTCTCCACTTATATATATGCCTTCACTTGGGAGGATCCACGTGTAGATCTCCAATATTTAAATCTTACAAAGGAGGATCGTATGATGGTTATTACTTCTGGTGGTTGTAATGTATTGGAATATGCTATTCGGGGACCTGCAAGGTATGTGTGATAATCTTGGATGCAGTTTCTGATTTGCTTGTTAATGTGGAGGGGTTTAGAGGAGTATGAGGAGAGTGTTGTTGTGGGGTTGTGGGTAGGGTGTCGGTAATGGTTAGAAGCGTTGGGAGCATTAATCCCAACTTAGTTTGGATTTTTTTGCATCACTGTGCCGACGTAACGGATGCACCATGCTTCTAAGCAATGACGCAATCATATGTGCCTGAGCACTCTCTTGTGTATGGGCTGTATATGTTTTGGGGGTTTTCCTGTGTTTGCAGTATTGGACTTTATTACATTCATTAGAAAGGTTTTTTGGCATAGAATGAAGGCTCTCAATGATGACTCAACTGATCCTCGCTTGTCTTAACCTTTTCCTTTTAATTATAACCTATAGGATTCACGCTGTAGATCTCAACCCATGCCAAAACAACATGTTGGAACTCAAGTTGGCTGGTATCTCTGCTCTCAACTACTCGGACTTTTGGTCTCTGTTTGGTGAAGGCTTCATCCCCAAGTTCTCAGCTTTATTAGACACCCATTTATCACCACACTTGTCGCCATTCGCCTATCACTTTTGGAAGCAGAACTCTGGATTTAGTAATTTATACAAGACAGGTTGTTCAGGTCTAGCTATCCGAGTCTTCCAATTCGTAACTAAAGTCCGAGGATTGAAATCAGCAGTAGAACGTATGTGTAGCGCAGATACCGTCAAGGAGCAAAACGAGATTTGGTTGACGGAAGTCCGGCCCCACTTCTTGTCTAAATGGCTAGTCAAGCTATTGAATAATGATCGCTTCTTGTGGGGAGCACTAGGAGTGCCACCCGCACAAATGTCTATGGTATTAGAGGACCAAACCGCATATGACTTTTTAGTAGATTCTTTTGATCCCGTAATCGCCGAAAAGTCACTACGAGACGACAATTACTTTTATTACATGCCCTTGATGCTCCGCTACTTGCCCACCAACTGCCCCGGCTACTTGTCAGAATCGGGCTTCGACACACTTAAATCCAATCCCGAGCAACTAGATGCCATCCGTATTCATACCGATACCATTATAAACGTATTAAACACGCAATGCTATGATGGAGAGTTGACCAAGGTGATTTTGATGGATCATCTAGATTGGTTTTCACCTGAAGATGCAGATGCTGAGATATCGGCTGTAGCTAAAAAGATGAGGGTTGGTGGACGAGCATTCTGGAGGTCTGCTGGTAAACGACCTTGGTATAACGAGATCTTTGAACGACGAGGATTCCGCGTCTTCCCGTTGCAAGTGCGTGAAGGGTCTACCATGTTCTTGGATCGTGTTAACATGTACCCAAGGTATGTGCTGTGATATCGTCGATTGACGTCCCGGGTTTTTTTGGTGGAGAGGATTCGTGTTTGATGTCAGGTTGATCTTTTTGGTTGGGTGTGAGGAAGGCGAGAGAACGTTTATGAAAGTGATGATGTGGTGAGAAAAAGATATTTTCTCTGAGTGTCTGGGATGTGTCTAGGATGTGATTTACTTTCCTCTCCAAGTCATCCTTTAGTCTCCTAGATCCTTTTTGTTTAAACTCTTTTTTCCTTCAATTTTTAGTTTCTGGTGCGGTGAACGCATTTAGAAGAACCAAAAAAGAGCAGCTTGTCATCTATTAAAATGATGAAAAAGGAAGAGAGAGGGAGCATGAGGGACATGTTTTCGAATTGTTGTCGTTTGCTATCCATTTTATCCAAAAATCACAAAAACTAGTGTAATTGTAGACAGAAAAAGTAAAATAAATTCGATTTCCTTTTTACATTACTGGCTCTATGATTCTGTAAGCTTTTAGAATTGGAAGATACAAATGAAGGTCCGTGTGGGTATGTTGTAACTGTTGGAACGGCACGAAACACGTTACCCAAAACTTTGCACGTGCTCCTGCAACTCCTATAGTGCCATTAATGTGGCTGATGGCGAAAAATACTCTGGAACCAGCACTCGGTTCAAGTTGGTCTGAAACACGTTTTGATTTGTTTGGGTGTTTCGTGTTGCCAACCAAACGAGCACCTAAGAACGAGAGAGGGACAGCGAGAACGAGAGCCAGCGAGAACGAGAGCCAGTTCGCAATCCGCTCCTCCCGTATAGCACGTGAGAGGATCTCCGCTCCTACCTGATTCATTTGAATCTCATCCAATCACCAGCGAGCTCCAACAAATTTGCTTCTCAAAACACACCCCACAAGGAAGGAGCACCAAAAGCCAAGGTCTAACTACGGGGATGCATCGTCGTCTGTCACTATTAATCAACGAGGACTGGTTTCTCAGCACGATAGCCTATTGCGCTCTCGCCCAATTCATTATCTTTTTTGGATTGGTCTATGCGCCATGGACGAAACAGTACTTTAATACCGTCAAGAAACAGGCTTGGTATGTTGATCATGCATTTGCATGTTATCTATGCTGGGATTAGGTGTTGGTGATGGTGTGGTGGAATCACAATGCTCAATAATCTTCTCACACGTTTCTGTGTATGACGCATAGGATCTTAACGTTGACCACATCGGCTGTCATGACGTTTGGATCTTTGCCGCTTTTGATTCCTTTCTTGATGGGCAGGTATAGAGTCAATGAGCTGCCTCTGCTGGTATGTTTGGTCTGTTAGTGAAACTTGGAAACTGTGTGTGTATATACTGGATCAGTTCTTTCGTTGCTGAACCTTTGTTTCTATATTAGGACTCGGAATACTCTATTGTTCTGTCTGTATACTTTGTAACGTACCTGCTGGCTGACCTCTTTATCGGGTAACACTTACTCATCATCCCTCATCCCAACATTTCGCTCACTCACTCCATTCCACACTTCCAGATCCATATACTACAAATCACTAATCGATCCATTGTCAGGCTGGTTCCACCACTCGCTCTACACCACCGTCGTGGTCCTCCTCATTCGCCATCGTGTCTCTGGCGCATTCATTCTAGCTGGAATACTAGAATTGCCGACTCTGTTGCTAGCTATGGGTCAAATCAACAAGAAGCTGAGACAGGATCTAGTGTTTGGAGGTGCCTTCTTTATGACGAGGATTGTGCTGCATGTGTATCTGGGGATTAGGCTGTATACGGATTTCCAGAGCTGGCAGCATTGGATTGCGGTTGGGATTTTTCCGTTGCATGCGGTGGTAAGTACTGATTTATTTTTTTCGTTGTGGGGTTTTTGGGCTGAGGTCCAGTTGAATAAGGCATATGTTGTTGCTGATGTGAAGATGAGATTGGGAGCTTCAGGGCTGCAGAAAAGAGTTGATGGCGTCGCTGTTGAATTGGAGCTGAAGTAGCTGCTACATCGAGGATCGAGGACCTCTCGCCCGCACACCGAAGGATATTAGTTATCTGATGACCTCGTCTTTTTCGCATTAGTGGTTCTCGAACTGGGTCAAACAACAAGTCCGCTTACGATCCCAAGGACACTCCTCAAAACACCATGCTGCTGCTACCCCTGCAACTAATCATACCAACGACTCTGACTCACCTAATACCAAAACATCGCTCAAGGCATCGCCCATGAACGGACACTTCAAAACACGACACATCTCATCATCAACTGCTGCTGCTGCTGCTGCATCTCCTGATACAATGAGACGGAATTCATGGAGGCCGCATAATAGTGAAGAGGACGACGCGGATGTGATGCTCATGGCTTCGAAAGCTGCTCATGGGAAGAGTAATAGTAGGGCCGAAACACCTGCAGCTGCAGGTGGCGGTCGTAATAGGAGGCCGAGTCAGCAGGGTAATGATTTTCGGTCGTCGCCGATAGAAGTAATGTAGAGGGAACGAGTATTTAATGGACTCGTTAGAGAGTATCGTTTTCTCAGTTGTCGACCAGCCCATTAAGTCGACCATGTGGTTAGGTTTGCTTTTTACTTTAGAATGTAGTTTGAGTCAGAAATGTTATATAGATAGGTCGTGCGTGTGGTGTGTGTAATCATCTGAAGACGAAATAATAATTTGGTGTGCTGTATTGTGTCTAACAAATGTGTCGGGAATAGGTTTGTCACGTTTGAAGAGATGAATGCACAAACTAATGAAGACGCGGTCGTGGACGTGCGGGCTTGGAGGAATTTAAGCTCTCGCGTGAATCGCTAGATCTGAAGTCCGTAGCGATCCATGTTCGTAGCGATGCAAGTTTGGATTCAACAATCAACTCCTGTTTGCGTCCGTCAAAACTTCAAACCCAAGCTGTACAGACCGAAAAAGGTTCTTTCGAGAAAAGAGAGCTACGGAGGCCAGTAAGTATGAGCTGTAAATTGGTTTTGAGATTGAATTTCATCCGTTTCTTCTTTCATCCTGACCGACACTTCATACTCTTTCAAATGTAAAATCTATCATAGCAAGGAACCATGTCGTTTCCATACCAAGAAGTTCATATACCATTCTGGGTCACTTATCAACCACATGTAAACGCATGGCTCCCCCAAATTGATCCATTGCATCGTACTTGTGATGGAGTCGCATCAACTGTCATATTCAATCACTCGACAATCGAACTGACGGTCAAGACCATGTATCCTCGAAAGGCAACAAGCATTGAGCTTGTCAATGCTGGACCCGTTCAAGCTTTCTTTACTCCGGAAACACCAGTCTTTCGAATGGAACGTGATACATGCAAGGCCGTCTTCAATGTCAATAAAAGTTTTATCAGGAACCATACACTATATCATTTGAATGCTCGAAACGGCCAAGCTACTTTAAAAGTGGATTTTAGAGTACACGTTGCCATTCAACCTCCTTCGGATTTACGACACAGCTTGTATAATGAACACTTGTCGGATGCTTACATCGTCGTCAATCGGAAATCACTCCCAGTCTCCCAAGCTATACTGGCATCTGTATCTCGTCTCACGTTTACTACTGAATCTGAGGTATATGCAAAGAAACCAACAGTTATGTTGAATGATGTATCAGAGCTTGCTGTGCAAGCTTTTATAGAATTCGCCTATGTCGGTGATATCATGGAATCGTCATCTATCTTCTCTGCTATTTCGGAGCCCAGCCGTTGTGTCGAGCGTCGAGAATTTTATCAATTGGGTGATCGATATGATTTAATTGGTCTTGAATCTTGTATTCAACATATTTTTGCCGCAGACATTACTGACGATACTGTGTTTGAGGTTTTGGATTTTGCTGATAGGTATGAAGATCGACACTTCTGATCTGCGGTTGTGGTACACTCATGAAACGCTGAAAGGTTTTGACTCATATACACTATTTCCCTTTAGTCGCACTCATCGAGGGCTTTACGATTTATGTGCTCGCTACATTAACGATCATATCGGAAATATGAGTGATGCCATCGTCGTGCAAGGACTTGGTGGCATTGGAAGCCGAGTGCTTGATGAAATCTGGTTGCAGCAACTGGAGGAGCCAGAAGCTAACGACGAGGGAGAGACCGATTCAGACGCTCCACAGGAGAATAGAAACGATCAGAACAGTGTCGGTTCTGATTACTAATTGATTCCTCAAGAACAACACGTAGGTATGCAACCTCAGCAAGAACTCCCCTTGAAGCTTCTTATTTTGGAACTCCACAGTACTGAACTTGCAAAAATATTTGAGTTTCTTTATGCAATAATGGCTCTCTTTGGAGAAGAGCCTACTTTGTGTTGGTTCAGTCATATGTTTATAGAATGGTAGTAAAGACAAAAACGACCCCTTTTGATGTGAAAATCGGTGCTCTATGTAACAGTTTTGCGAACCGGATATGCTTTTGCAATCCTATCTCACCACAGGCAACATTTAAATGGATAAATCGATAAAGCCGCTTCGTGATGATCAAATGATAGCCAGATGAGATGCAAGCATGAAGGGAGAGCTCTCACATCTACAATTACATGAATTTTCATTAGATAAATGGGTTTACAATTTGTGAGAAGATGCAACATTGAGGTCCTCGTAAACATCTCCACAAAAGGACGCAAATTGCATTTTACCCTTGCAAAGATAAAGACCAAAGCTGAAAACATTATGCCGGATAGATTTTACGGTCTTTGAATTATTCTGAATAGATAATTTTCGGTTTGTTTAGAGATAGAGTAGTCAGCAAGGCAGCTGCGTCCGTTGCCGAGGAGCAATAGCATTTGATTGACAATCCTCAAAACAAGTATTGGCATATATCGCGATCCACGTACTTGTATCATCAGCTATCCATGGCCGCCTTAGGATCTGATATGAAATCACGCACGTCGAAATTATGACATTTTCTGCTTTTCCGCTCAACAAGAAAGTACGCACTGACACGGCCAGAACCAGACCGAGGCCTCATTGTGCGGAGGTTTGTGGAATGTTATGCTGGCTGTAACGTCATCGACTATTGAGAGGGTGAGTGAGTTGATTGATGGTTTGACTCGCACTTTTAACTTTTAGAAATTGAAATTCGTGGTGACCTGTTTTGCAGTAACGAGAAACCGCTTTATGTACATCATTTTGTATTCAGTATTAGTTTGAACTGTTGCCACTATTGACCCTTTACTGACCTTGCTTCCTTTGCTTCTTGCCAGCTTTAGAGGATCTCATTATCTCATCAAACAACATTAAGCCACCTCAAGATGCAATCTGAAAAGACTTTTGTTATTGAGTTCCCTATGGTCGTACCATCAGCAAAACCAATGCCAGTCAGTGGTTCGTGGGCGCTAGGACGTCGTCATGGGATAACGCAAATCTTGACGTACAACCAAACATCGAAAAAATTGAGTGTTTCCCTACGTAACAATGCAAGGTCACATAGACGCATTGTCTCGATTGAGCCAGTTGGACCGTATAGTGACTACATGACAGTGGTTACTCCTTTACAACCCTCTCGGCCATACCAATGGGTTGCGGAATATCGATTCGACGTACGATATAATATCTCAGATGAAGCAGAAGCCAACGCTGGTACAGAGCAAGCCAATCGTCAACTTAATCTAGAAGTAATTCCGGAAAATCCAGATCTGGCACGCTTAAACGTGCGATTTAGTTTATGCACTGCTGTGTTCACAGGGTTCCTTGATAAGCGAGAGGTCTTATTTGATCGGCGGCTATGTGATGCTTTCTTGGAGACGGATAATGGTGCTCTCATTGCAGTCAGGTAAAAACAACAAAAGACTTGTGATGCAAACGCACTTTTATAAAGTCGTCATCAGAAAACTTACTGTGCATATTTTTCATGCTGTTAGTATGGCAATCATGAGTCGATCAAGTCTAGAGTTTGCCAGGATCTTCTCGAATCAGTGTTTTGTCTCGCAAGCTGAGAGGAAAATCCGCGTCAGCAACGCATCTGAACATGCTGTTCGTGCCATGCGTGAATTCGCATACACTCTTACCATCGTGCAACAAGATCTCAACACACAAGGTCGAATGGAACTGTTTGCTCTGGCCATACGATATGGGATATCTGACCTTGAACAATTTGCATGTAACTGGATTGTCAGTAGTGATTTGAATCGATTCTCTGTAGATCCGTTGTTTACCTTTGCTGAATCGTAAGTGTTGATGCTTTATGCTCTCTTGGCTCTCAATTGTATCATATTAATTGGTGACTTTGCTTTGACGTCGAATAGGTATCCAACGAGCAAGTTGTATGAAAAGTGCAAGGCTTTCATGATCTCTACCATCAATCGAAATGGAAGCCAAAATGTAACTACAGCACCAGCTGCAACCGCAGTACCACGACAAAGTCGCCAATCGAGTATTGACGATTGGGTTGCTGCACAGAACTTCTTTACAGTCGCTACGCAGTTCATGATGATCCGTGTAGCGTCGGATTTGACTAATAGTATTTTGGACGAATTCCAAGGACGTAGGTAGAAAACCTGGAGATAATACTCAAGGTCTCAGTGCTGTGGTTTTAACAAGTGAAGAGTTGGGGCTATGATTGTGATGAATATGTACCATGATGCAGTCGAAAGCTGGTTGAAGGTGATCTGTACGAGGCTCGTCACAATAACCTTTGAGGACAATAATAAACAGTTTGATGTGTTTTGTGACTCAAAGTGTGTTTGGGTATATTTTGTTTGAAAGATGCGTGTGTTATTAACAATTACGTTGAAGAATAAAAAGAACTGGAGTTACGATTATATGAATGCGAACTACGAGTACCTCATCTCGATTACCCTCAGACCTCAGAGGGTGCAAATCGAACTATCAAGGGTATACCAACAATGAGAGTAACAGCCTAAATTTTGAAGATTTTCAATAGTGTGAGCCAAACTAGCTATATGCCACAAGGCACAGCAGAGAAATAGCACTCCACAACACATACCACACCAGCAAAAGTCCCATACAATGTAATCAATTCCCTTCTCGTGAACGATGCAGGCCGTCTCTTGCTTTCATCAAACTCCTCGACCTCTTCACCTAAAACTCCATGAGTGCTATGACTTAAACTCAACGGTGAATTCAGCAATAACGGGGCATCATCCTCGACTTCTAAAACAGCAGACTCTGTTCTCGAAGGTGGACCCATTTCTTCACCATCGATGTTGTCGTCACTGGATAACAGCCTAGATACTCCAGAAGACGAGTCTTGCTGTGAGTGTTGACGCCGTGGACCAGCAGGAGGCAGTTCGAATGCTTCTCGTAGTGATCTCCGGGCTACGAGTGTGATAAAGACTACGGTTATGGCGATGACACCTCCTGAGATTAGCATTGTCAGGTATTTCGCTAAAATGAAGGGAGAAACGGGCATCAGAGACTGGATTTTGCATGAACTTTCGTTTGCCGTTAGGAGGCGAAACGACGAGTTAGGTTCAGACTTACTTCTTGGACTGACAACGACTTCATCAGCACCT